AGCGAGAAGGGAATGGTTTTATCCGCCTCTTTCTGTGAACATCTTATAAGCGTAGAAGAATAACACAGTTAGTCTAGATAAGCAACACAAGTCTTTGTTACTCAGCTGCTTTCAGCCTTGAGCAAGGCTCGTTACCTTTGCTGAAGGTAACAAGTTTAAATTAAGTTGTTGAGCTGTGGGTCACGCTGGCCTACTAAAGCAAAAGCATGACTGCTTCCTCTGGTGAAACGTTCAAAGATTGGGCAGCAGCCCGGTAACTGTTGTTAACACAGTTGTGTGAGGAAGAGGGAAGTGGTTTCCAGGAGCTTCCGTTTCTCGGAGCAAAGTTCTGTGCAGTCGATACACAATTTTCAAAATCAAGTCTGAAGCCTGCATTCAGATCTTAGCAGCATGGCTATAAATCTCATTACTGCAGGAACTAGTTAAATAACCACAGATTTATTTTCTGCTGTTAAAGCTGAAACTGGAATGTTTACTGTCATAATCTTCAAATTACTGGTACAGCACATACATATTTACCTCTAATAAAAGCCTCAGGTCCTTCCTGCCGTTGTGTTTAATGTGGATATGCAAGGCCTGGGTTCTGTCTTCAGTAAAGTCTCTTCCAACCCTTCAGGAGTCTTACGGTTAATGTAAAGTGACAGCCCTTAGTAAATGTTTGACTCTATTGCCAATTGCTTTTACAGTCACAGGTTTAATGAAAGCTTAAATATGTCACCTATGTCATATAGGCCAAAAATGCACAGTAGGCAAGGGTTAAATAGGCTGTTAGCAAGTTTTAACATGTTAAAACTTATGTTTTCCCTCCAAAACAATGCAAAACAACAGGACAGGTTGTAGGAAGCTGGGAGGGATGTGGAGCTGGAAAAGCAAATAATTCTGAGGGTGTGAGTGTGTGTGGGGGGAAAAAACTCCAGTCAGAAGAACAGACAAACATACATATTGATGGGCCGTGATCAAACGGCGGGGATCTTTATGTTGTACACAGGCATACGTTGAATAATTTGGTAAGGATACGTGAGGAGCTCATGAGCCAGCATTATCACTCAGGAAAGCTGCTAAAAGTCCCTTGCCCGAGAAATGGCTGAAGAGCCCTGGATAATTCCACAGTCAAAGTTAGAGTAGCTTCTGAAGTGCTGGGGAATGCAAGGCGAGATAGTGGGGCACCTGGCAGCACATTACACCCAAAGCATGAGGAAGAGCAGCGTGCTGCTGGTCTCTTAACATTCCTGAAATTCTCCGAAGGTTTGGCAGAGGTATTTCTTAGAGCAAAGACAAGCAGACAACAAGCTGACTGGGGGAACAAAAACGCCAGCCATTTGGGAGTTCTGCGTGTCTTTTTGGCAACTTTATGGCCCTGGGAGTGCGCAAGTGTGTTCTGTCTTCAAAGGATATCAAGGTGCTGACTGCAGACCTGTTGCTTCCTGTAGTGTTGGGTGGCTCTGCTCCTTTCGCATGTGAAATTCAAAGGTCAATCAATGACTGTGCTAGTAATTTTTCATCCTTCCTCCCAGGGATTTGCTTGTGAGATCCTCAGCCTGGGTAACTTTCACAGTATGATGGGACCCACGAGGCTTTTGGTTATTTCTACTTTTTGCTCACTTGTACCCAGCCTTGGATTTTTCAGTGATATCTCACCTCTGTGCCCCAGGGTAGGCTGAGTGCTGTGGAAAATAATAGCTAATGATAAGCCACGTTTTAAGATGCAGCGCATGATGAAGCAGGTGCTAAGTAGGAGATGTGATTAAGGAACTGGTTTTGGTGAAGTGACAGAAGACTTTTTCCACCTCTTCTGTAACAGAGCGCTCTGGGACAGGTGCATTCAAAACATGTCCCATTGCTGAGGCCTTTCCCTTGCCTGGCAGCCCTGCATAAGCTGGTGCTGGGCCAGGGTATCATGTTGCCTACTGCCATGAAAAGCTAGACGTTTGATCTGGAAAGAATTAGAACTGCCCATGGAATGCTGTCAGACACGTGATCGGACAGCAATTTGCTGAGAAGATGACTGAGCCTCAATGTTATCTGAGATCACTATTGAGAAAACAAAGTTTGCAACCATGGCAGCAACTGCTGTCTCTTAAACATTATCCTTGACAGGGCTCGGCACCCCAGTGTGTTGTAGAGACTGTTAGCTCTGCTAGTGCTTTTTGTAGTGAGTGAATATGGCAAAAAGAAGTGCTGAAACACCTTGTAGGAACAGGGAACGGCTGCTCTTTTTGATGTCTGTAAGTTACACCTGCCCATTTATCTGCAGACGTACGCTTAGTGCGCACACTCTGTTATTTCCCTACCATCATTATTGTGGTGCTGTGACAATCTCTGGTGCCAAGAACAGAAAAGTTGCCTGTCAGTTATGCTAAGCACCTGAAGACTCTTGGCTCTCAGCCTGCACAAGGTGATTGTTATCTTCTACTATTTTCAGATAAGCTTCTCAGAGCAAAACTAACGATTCAGATAAGCTGCTGAGATCATAAATCATTTATAGTATTAATAATGTTTACAGTCCTTTATTTAGTTGCTGAAATATTGTAATTTTCACAGCTATTCAGCTATGGAACCTCATTGGAAAACAATCTTCAACTTGCCTGGTTCTAGGATCTGTTTCTGTTATTTAGGTTAACCAAAGTCTTTCTACACCTAAGGCACCTCTATAAATCCTTGGTACATGAATACCAGTGGATTACTTTGTCCTTAGGTTAGCCTGTGTTAGTAGAATGTATTTTTTTCAAGGTTTGAAATGTGAACAACTTCAAATTTCTTCTAGAAAGCATTTGTGTTGCTTGTGAGGATTCTCCAGCTCATCTTCAACTCAGTCATTCACATCCATGGAAAAAATGGTGAGTTCCTTTCTCTCTCCGTATCTTTGGGACAGCAAGGACGGTAACACTTGATAAAGAACAGAAATGTCATCTGAAGTTAAGTTACCAGATTAGGGGCAATAAGAAACCAGATAAGGTGTAACAAAAGCAAGTGTAGAATCTTGCACCTGGCAAGTATCCGAACTTCACAATGATGGTGACGAAGCACCATCAGGCTGCCCAGGGAGGCTGTGGATTCTCATTCTCTGAAGATATTCAAGGCCTGTCTGGATGCCTACCTGTGCACCTGCTATAGGGAGCCTGCTTTGGCAAGAGGGTTGACCTCTATGATCTCTAAGAGGTCCCTTCCAACCCCTACAGTTCCATGATTCTGTGATTATGGTGAGAGGGAGTTTATCCTCCTCGCCTGGGCAGAACAACCCCACAACTATTGGGCTCTGCCCCCCTGCTTTCCTCACACTCATTCAAGTACAGCCCCATAAGCTTTGGAGGGATAGCTTCTCTGCTGGGAGAAAACATGCTTTTATTTTCAGACACTGGATAGTGGGAAATGATAAACATGATCTCAGATTTCCCTACAAGATATTGTTTCCCTAAAAGATATTGTTCCAGTGTGGAAATGTGAACAGTATCTTGTGGTTTACAATGCTCAATTGTAGTATCAAATGTGAAAGTCCCCAACAGTACTCTCCAGAGAGATCCGGTAACAGAAGCCCACGACATGTCCTAGCTACTGTGCAGTAGGAACCCCCTTCTTTCTTTATATGAGCCTTCAGCCTTTTTTAAAAAAAGCCTGACAACAAACAGAAATCACCCCCACCACCTGTTAGAAGATATCCTGTTATATCTTCTGGCAGAAGAGCGTAAAGGGTCTTAAAACCTCAGCAGGTGGAAAAATTAAGTGACTTGTACAATGACTGCTGCAAGGTCAGGGGCAGAGGGAAGACGAACCCAGTGGCCAGTCCCTGCACTAAGCGCAAGTGGATGAAAAGAGACTCGAGGAACTAAAACTTAGAAATGAGATTCGAGTGGAAACAAATCTCAACTACAGAAATCTCTCTGGGAATGACTTACCGTATGCTCTGGGGCACAACTGGTTTTAAGGGCTCTGGAATTATGGCTGCAACATGGCACTCTGAGAGGTTGCATAAAGAGCACTTGCAATCTATGCACATGTGCACTTGCTAACAATCATATTTTGTGCAGTTAAGAGCAAGGCCTCTGATCTTCAGAGCATGCATAGCTTTGATTTGTATGTCTAGATTGGAGTACATGAGTACATGAGTACAGCACTGGCACGTGTATGTCTTGTGTACTGCAAAGCATGCTGTTATGGGGGAACTGAAAAGACATAAACATACTATATTGTTACACTTCACTAGAAAGCATAAAGCAGTTCTGGAAGTAGCAGAGTAAAAAGTGTGCTGACAAAGTCAGCAAGGTAGTTCCTCCACTTCAAACTTTCTGCGATTAAGGAGCATGCAGGATGTCACGTTTCTGTTTCAGGCTCTAATGAATAAAGGAACACGGTCAGGTTGTGGGAGCTGATTCTCTACTCATAGGGAAAGGTGCACATATGTGCATTTCTTCAGAAGTTGTCTCAGAGCCAATTATCACCCTTTGTCTTCGCGTCCTTCAGGAAGGAATATGTTCTGTTTACTTCGGCATCCGAGGAAACACGAGATGATGACCTCTTCGCTTGCTCTCCTCGTTCCTGCCAGACCACCATCTCCTCTTCACTCCCTTCACACACAAGCTCTGCATCATCGACCTCCTCCAGGTCCGGTTCCGTAGCACAGCCTGCAGCCCGCCACGCCCGACCTTTCCTTCAAGGGCCCCGACAGCTGTGAACCCCCAGTGCCCCCGCCTCTTCTCCCTCCCTCTTTCGTTGTTCTCTCGTGAAATTACATCTCCTCTGAAGGAGCACACACTGAGTTGGGCGGCCCTGGGCAGTCACTCAGCTCCTGGTTTGGTTGCCCCGGCGCCCCGCTACGGCGCGACACTGCTGCATAACGCCGCCGGGCGCCCTGCAGGCTCTGCGGAGCTCTGCGTCCGCACTGTGGGAGCGAACCGGGCTCCGGCAGCCGTGGGGGCAGGGCGATGCGGGGGTTGGGCTTAAGAGCGGGTAAGGGGAGGTTTTGTGCGCGCTCCGAGGGGACGAGAAGGCGGCGGCAGCAGGGAGAGAAGATCTGTTAGGATTACTGAGCCGTCGGCTCCCGAGTTTCCCCCGAGCCTATTTGGCCGCACCACAGAAACTGCGGGCCGTGAACACCATGGCTAGCGAGATCGACAACCTGAACAGCCACGAAGCAAAGACGGTATGCGAGGCGTTGGGGCGCTATGAAGACACGTTGCGAGGCGCTGTTCGGGAGATCCATGTGGACATTCAGGTGTTCAAGCAAGGCGTGAGTCGGCAGGTGGATGAGGTGCTGCGCCTCGCCAGCCCCCTGGCTCGCAGCGTCTCGGAGCTGCAGCAGGAGAACCAACGCCTGCGGGTGCAGCTGGAGCGTCTTGCTCGGCAGGTGGAGGCCCTCAGCCGGTCGGCGGGGCTGCCGCAAGAGTGGCAGGAGGAGGCAGAGAGGAGCCCTCCGGCTGTGGGACCCAGCTCTCCAGTGCCGGCTTTTTCTGCAGACAGGTTCTCCACCCTTGCGAAGCTAGCAGTGTCTGGTCGGAGCCAAGTAAGTGCCGGCTGTGGCTGGGGCGGCAATGCAGGGAGGGTCATGAGGATGCATGAGCACTTGGTGTGAGTGGATGCGTCTACAGTGAGCTGTAGGTAACACGGGGGAATGTTTACAATCTTGTGCATTGAATATTTATGAGCTTTTGGAAGGTGTCTAGAGAAATGGTCTTGACTGTTATGCCAGCTGGAGATGTTTCTGATTATAGTGCTACTTGGCCAAACTGAGATCTTGCTTAGAGTGGCAGCAATCTCTCAGTTGAGTGTGGTTAGAAGTGAGAAGAGACGTTGTGGCAGTCTCAGCTATCAGCATTTATGTGTAGGTGAATGTCTGTATATCCCTTTAAGATTCGGGGGGGACCTGTGTGCCAGCAGTGCTGTTTGTCAGTTGCCAAGCTCACAAAGGAGAAAAGCTCAGCATATATGTAGCAGGTAATAATGTGCTTACCTAACATAGTGACTTGGTGTGCTGAAGTGTGACAGTTTTGAGGCACAAGTGCTGTGCTGTACTACTTTGGCTCAGTTTTAGAGAGGTGTGCCCCATGCAAGCTGTCATGGTCTCCATGTCCTAAACTAGCACAGAGATGTTCTTCCCAGTGGTAGAACTGCTTCTGTGAGATGAAGCCTTATAATGTGGTGCATGGAAAGCTCAGTTAGTGGGAAGCTCATATGGCACTGAGCTTAGTGTAATACTTTTCTAGTGCATCTGGTTCTGTGGAAGGAGCTGAGAGTTCCTGTACAATCCTTGATGCCAAGAGATTGCCTCCAGACAGTACATGATGATTGTTGTGTAACTATGTGGTATTAGAGAGCTAGCTTTCAAAACGGGCAGCCTATTTCATTTAATATTAATCTATCTCTTGCAGATTCTTAAAGACTTGGAGCATGGACAGTTGTGGGATTAGCTATCCAGGCCTTGGGGATGAAAAGTAAAAGCTTGGAAACTAAGCTAATTTGAAGTTGTTTGGGTGCAATTGAGCAGAGTCAGTACAACATTCCAGCCCTTTTACTTCCCACCAACCCAAAAGTATTTGGCAACAGCTGGCCAAATGAAAAGGCAAAGCAGCCACATGCAGTACTGTTCCAATGCTATTGTAGCAGTTGCTGCCTTTTCTCCCAAAAGATGAATATGAACATCTTACACAACTTCTGGATCGTTTGTTTGCTTGTTTTGTTTTGTTTTCCTCCATGGAGCCAGCCACACTTATTGCATTGCAAGAAACAGAACTAAGCTCGGTGACAGGGAAGGGATAAGAGGAAGTGGTGCCTCGTACAACTCACCTCCATTGCCACTGCCTATTTGTGGTGGGTACTCCACGCTCTGTGATAAGGTTTGCACTGAGGCTATAGCGTTATCCAGCTTTAGATAACAGTCTAGGCTGAAACACAGAATGTGCTTTTGTTTTGGCTGGAACCTTCTTGCTTAGCTTTGAGGGTTCAGGGAAGATCACAAAAGTACTGTTAGCTCCCCAGTGTCCTCCCAACAATTTTCCCCGCAAGGATGGATGCCTTCCAGGGTTAGCATAACTGACTGTAAAGGAATCTCAGTACTAAGAACCATGGGAGATGCAGCTAGAACTACACACACCAAATGCATGCAGAGATTACAGCGTCGATCAAAAAAATATGTAATGTGGCTGTGCTCAAATGACTAAGGAACAAGCCTTGATCACTGTGTTGGTCACCAGTTTCTCTGTGGTAATGAAAACATTCCCTGAATTGTCTGAAATTTCTATTTGTGCAACAGAAGCACTTGAAACAGAGCACCGTTGTGTGGGAACTGCTGAATCACGGCCTGAACCTCTGATGGACCACCTGAGGCGAGCACAGTCAGCCCTGGGAGCACAGCTGAAGGCAATTCACCTGTGCTGCTGGAAGGGGTGGAGCCTGGCTGCACCTCTCCTAAACCCATTGAAGAGCTGGCTGCCGGGGGAAAGGATCTCTTGTGGAGATCCCTCCTTTGGAGTTTTGCAGTGGGTCCAGCATGCTGGTAAGCTTTCTATCTATTCTCTTTTTGTTATTGTAATCTGCTTTGCCAAACTCTCCTGTTTATTTCATAATTGTAACATCTTTATATTCATTGAAATACAACCATAAATGCTACTGTGTTTGTTTTCAGGTAAATTAGTGGTTGTGATAAAAACTGATGAGACTTCCATCGGCAGTAAATGCTTATATAAGTCTGAGATAGGAGAAGCAATTAATCTATTTCTGGAAATAGCAGCGGATCAGGGTACTCTTTTGCTCCTGAAAAAGATTCATTGGTTGGGTTTCTTCCTGGTGTGTAGTTGATGCAGCTCTTATCCCAGTAAGGAGTTGAGTTCTGTTCCCTTCAACGCTTCTATCAAAATGCTCCGGATGAGAGTTTCTTTCTCAGGGTGAAGATTAGGTATTGAAGATTCTGAGCATCTTTATTGTGTGAACTGTTGTTTTGTAACACTGCTAGATTACTGTTAAAGGTGATTTCATTGAGAAGAAAATGTGGCCAAGGTGTTCTGAGCATAATTAAATAGTAAGGGCACAAATATCCTTTTAAATATAATCTTTGGCTAGCCTCTGCTCCACCGTCCTTGAAATCTGATATACGACAGCATATCTGCTCATTTAGGTGGACCCAGTCGCCTGTCTGTCGAGTGGGGCAGACTAACAAGATAACAGTTTTAGCCCCCATCTCCTGCATGCGACGCAGCAGTGACAGTGTTGCAAAGGATTTGTGTTATCTGCCCGACATTCACACTGTGCTCGAGGCAGGGCTCTCCAGGTACTGGCGAAGGCTGTTTGGGGGCGTGGAGTGGGGCAATGTGTTCTTCTTTGCTCCTTGTCTTTTGTCTTTCCCCCTCCCCTTTCTGAGGTTTTTTGTTTGTTTCTTGTTTTTCTCTCTCTGCGAACGTTTCAGTTCTGCAGAGCAGGACGGTTCAGAAAGCAATTTGTTAGTTCTAGCATCAGGTGGTCATTTGTATCCAAGGTTGTTACACTGGCACTTTTATTTGCCCTGTTCTTCCAAGAGATTACACGTGGAAAATTGCTCACCTTTCCTTTTCCATCTTGGGATGGATGGATTAGAAATCTTAGTAATGAAAGGAGAATCGCTTTTTGTGTTTGCAGTGCTTTAGTAAACCCACTTGTTCGGTTGCTACAGCTAGATCTGTAAATTCGTTTTGACCTAAACTTCAGCTAAGTAGATTTTTCTGAGAAGTCTGAACTACTGAAACTGAATAAAGATGAGATCTCCTCTCTCTTTAAAAATGAAGGAGCAATAACCGAGTATGTTTAAAAGTAGCTCTGTGGAATGTTCCAAGGTCTTTAGATTATGGCTGCTGAGCTGAGAGGGGACACCCCAATCCAGCACGGACAGTAGCCAGTATACAAAAGTAATGTCAGAACGGTAGGGATTGGCTTAAAATCGTTATATGTGAAAATTTGGATTAGCTTTTTGCCTTCTGAGTTAATTCTTCTTAAAGCATTTATGCAGCACTTTTGGCACATAGATTTTTCTTTTCCTTTCTTTCTTTTTTTCTTTTCTTTCTTTCTTTTTTTCTTTCCTTTCTTTCTTTTTTTCTTTCCTTTCTATAATCATTGGAGCCAGGAAGCCGGTGCAAGGCTATTGGATAGCAGAAGTTCTGGAGCTGGAGCTACATGGATTGAACAGGATTTTGAGTTAATCATTCTGCAAACTGGATGTGATTTCTAATTATGACATGGTTACATTTTTAAGAGAGATACACTTATGTATCAGATAATACCAGCATAGTAGAGGCACTGTTGCGTGAGACTGGAACTCTACATTAATACGTTCTGTGTGGTTGGGATGGTGTTGAGCGAATTGTAGCATATATTAAAAACCAAACCAGGATGAAATCAGCGTTACTTTAGAAGTAGTACCGACTTGTTCAGTGGTTTTTGTCAAGGTGAAAGAAAAGGACCTTGCTTTCTTTTTTCCTATTTGAAGATGTTTCTTTCCAAAAAGTTCTCTGCTTCTATGCTTTTATGTTTTTATTTTGGCAAAAGATTTGAGAACAGCTTTTTAGCTATTCAACGTGAGACTTGTTTTTGGACTCGGTGGTCTTTGTAGGACCCTTCCTACTGAACTTTCTGCTCTGTTCCGTCCTTTTTCTGTCTGCAAGGAAACACGGTACGAACTTGACTGAATTCTTGTGTTTCCGTTGTTTGTAGAAGCACAATGTTCTGAGCTCTGTTCTGACTGCACGATAATTTGCAACGCAGCGAAGTCATGTTTCATTTTCTCAGTTACGTCTCCTGACAGGTCATTAGTTCTTTACTTTGTTTCTGACAATTTTTGGCCGAAGCTTTCGCTGCTGGTTACCTATAATGTCGCTCTCAGCAGCTAGCTTTGCATGTCTTCTGTGAGAAACAGGGAGAACAGCACAGAGGTACCGTTAGCAGCTGAAATAGACAGTTTGCCATTACAGTCAGTGTTTGTGGTGTTGGGAAGGGTGTATCTGTTGAACACAAAGGCTGTGGAGTTCTAAGGGTAGAGGACAGATTTTAGTGCATTAGAGGGTCCCCCTATTCCTTCCTTCTTTCCTGATGCTTAGTTTTTCACTTTTTGAATGTGAAAATTGTGGTAGAGCGCTGAAAAGTTCTGATCAAATCTCAAGTTTGGAGGATGTACCTATGAAATTCAGTTTCCATCAGCTCCAGAGAATTTTGACTGATAAAGGCAGTAGGAGAATTATCACTTGCTTAGGTCCTGCTCATCTGAAGACACTAAGTTGTTGAGTTGGTGTCATATAAACATCTGTGATTAAAAGGTCTACAAACATGTCAGCCCAAATTCTTATCAGGCTGATCTAGATCAGCTGGGCTTTCAGATGGATAAAAAGAGTACATTTCCACTTTCTTCTAATCTAGCATTGCTACCCTGAACTTAAGCTTCCTCTGTCCAGAAATTCACTCTTACCTTGAATCAGGCCAGTAAATTGCACTTGTCATGATGAATCAGTGAGTGTTAGTCAGTTCTTCCTTGAGTAGAAAAGTCTGCTCACCTAGCCTTGCCTATTTTTCTTGGTGTGACCTCTGGAGAAGCTGCATATGTAGATTATAGGACTTATTTCTGTCAGCTCCAAAGTCTGGAGAAGTTTGAGATTAAAGGTGGTAACCCGGACGCATTCCTTAACTATGATGGGTCTGTCATGTAAACAGTCTGCTGATTTCCAGGGATTGAAGTGCCTGCTAAGAGTCTTTAGTTGGCAACTTCCCTCAAAGCTGAGGAAAATATCATCTAATTGAGAGCATAAAAACTAGGAAAACTGTGTTTTCTCTTCAAAAACACGTTGTTTGTAGATTGTCCTTGACTCAGCCCAGCAGTGTGCTCCTGCAGCTCAGAAAGCAAACGGTATCCTGGGCTCCATTAGAAGAAGGGTGGCCAGCAGGGACAGGGAGATGATTGTTCCCCTCTGCTCTGCTCTTGTGAGGCCCCATCTGGAGTGCTGTGTTGAGGTCTGGAACCCCCAGTACAAGAAAGATAGAGCTGTTGGAGAGGGTCCAGAGGAGAGCTATGAAGATGATCAGGGCACTGGAGCACCTCCTCTACAAAGACAGGCTGAGGGAGCTGGGCTTGTTCAGCCTGAAGAAAAGAAGGCTGTGGGGTGACCTCATTGCAGCTTTTCAGTACCTAAAGAGAGCCTACAAACAGGAGGGGAATCAACTCTCTGAAAGAGTTGATAACAGCAGGACGAGGGGAAATGGTTATAAGTTGAGGGAGGAAAGATTTAAGTTGGATGTCAAGGGAAAACTCTTTACATTGAGAATGGTGAGGTGCTGGAACAGGCTGCCCAGAGAGGCTGTGATGCCCCGTCCGTCCCTGGAAGTGTTCAAGGGCAGATTGGACGGGGCCCCGGGCAGCCTGGTTTAGCGTTAAACGTGGAGGTTGGTGGCCCTGCGTGTGGCGGGGGATTGGAGAGTCATGATCCTTGAGGTCCCTTCCAACCCAGGCAATTCATTCTGTGAATTCTTTCCCTTCTTTTTCTCCTTCCTTCAGTCGATGCCCTCAGCCCCTAGAGGGACTTCCAGAGTCTACAGTTCTCCACGGTCAAAGATAAGGGCACCGCTAATGCTCCCTGGGAGGTCAGCTTGGGAAAGGTGTGGCTGGTCTAGGTTTCTGCCTCAGCTTGGCTGTTACGGTGGGTACAGGCCATATTGGTTTCAATAGAAAGCTCTTCTCTCCTCTCCCTGATGAGAAGAAAACAGGCTGCTTTCTGCCCTCACGATGTGCCTTCCAGAATTTTATACTTTTCTCCCTAGAATTTTTCATCAACCACATTATTGCTTTTCCATGTGTTTTGTTTTGTTTTTAAATGGAAGTGTGATGACAACAGGTGAGATCTAGCTTATAGCCCCACATATGTCACGAGGAAATGCCTGAAGATTTATCTGCAATAGGAGAATGACAGAATAATCACATACATTAGCAAAGCTCTGTTTGATGCATCTTCTGGTTGTGACATAAAAGGAGTATGACAGGTAAGCAGATGTAGAACACAGCGCTGTATGAAACTGCTTGCAAGTACGGTGCTCAGTATTCCAGTCTACCAGATGACTGTGCTGCTAAAGCCAAACAAAAAAAGAGAAGTATGCATTCATGTGTTAGTTGTTAATCACAGTTGTTAACAACAGTCGCTCTTTCTGGTATTTTGATGCCAGACTTCAATTTGGTTCTCTAACCAGGCCCAATACTGAGATTTGCTTTTGTCAAGCTATCAGTTACAGATAGGTAATCATAGAGTCATGGAATGGCCTGGGTTGAAAAGGACCTCAAAGATCGTCTAGTTTCAAACCCCCCCCCCCATGGCGTGGGCAGGGTTGCCAGCCACTACACCAGGCTGCCCAGAGCCACATCCAGCCTGGCCTTGAATACCTCCAGGGGCATCCGCAGTCTCCCTGGGCAACCTGTTCCGGTGTGTCACCACCCTCTGAGTGAAGTTATGTTTGAAGGATGAATTTTAAAGCAGAATCGCAGAGCTGTAGCTGTGTGACTCAGTATGCATCCTTTGTTGAAGGATTTCACAGCATTGTAGGGGTTGGAAGGACCTCCAGAGCTCATGGAGTCCAACGCCCTGCCAAAGCAGTTCCTACAGCAGGTCGCACAGGTCGGCATCCAGGCAGGTCTTGAACATCTCCAGAGCAGGAGACTCCCCCACCTCCTCTTGCAAGCCTCCTTCTACCTGCCAGTGATTATTAGAAAGGATGAGTTCTGACCTTTTCTGATGAGAAAATCTCACATGTTTGCAGGAGCACAATCGTTAAGAATCTTTCTGCACTGTCTGTGGTTCAGCATGATGTCTTTGTGAACAAGGAGGACTAAAATTATAAAAAGGATGTTCTATTTTGACACTGTCAGAAAAGTCTCTCTGTAGTGTTGACAGACTGCTGAAAGGACATCTGCAGAGAACCAGCCTGCTATGGGGAAAGCAGCAGAGTGATTGCCTAGCTGGCTGTGATCACTTACGAAGATCTAAACAAACATTATTCGTTGGTATCTGGGGGCCTGATGGCACTCAACAGTGCTGGAGTAACTGCATGAGACACAAAGACCTGCAGTATACAAGCAGACAGATTAAATGCTCCAGAAGTCAACTTGCACTGTATACCATGAAGCCATCTCTGCTCGTGTATTTGACCAGGAAGTTTGGTCCTTCTGTTTATTTCTTCTTATTTTCTTGCAATTCCTGTGAGTGTCTTGTAGGAATAATTCCAAAGTTACCTGAATCTTCATTTAGGTGATTTGTTTGCCTGTTTTGTTGTTGTTTTATTGTGATACAGTGTGAACACCTGCTGAAGCTATAAATGTAGAGCTGTTTTCTCTCTTGTCAATTTTTTAATCCAGGTTTGCATCAAAATAAGGTTTTGTGAAAAATGCCTCGACGGTTTTTCTTCAGAGGTTACTCCATGTGCAAAAGCTTCCTAATGCTGTTCAAGGCTGCTGCTTCAAGCTGAGCAGTCGGTTACAGAATACTCCTGTAATCTGACAGTTTCTCTGTGCTCTAGTAGAACTGAGCAATAAGTGTGGTGCAGTTCTCATTCATGTCTAGCAGCCTTGATTGTCCTCCTTGACACATCCCACTTTTTCCATTTCTGATGTATCAGTAATCTCTGTATGCAAAGCACGTAGAGGCAACTGAGGAGCTGGCTTTTACAGAAATTCCTCTTTCAAGAGGTCTCTAAATGAAAGATATCCCACAAAAAACAGTGGAGCTAATGGTGCTTTTGCTTGTACGAGAGTTTTAGATTTTTGGACCACTGCTATTTTAGGTGTATATGAAACCATACTGGGGCATGAAAGAAAGTTCGATTGTCCTAATAGAGCTATAAGGCACGTTGTGTTAAAACTTGTGGTTGTGTTTGGTTTTGGCTTGTTTTGACAAAGCAGCACCTTTTACTCATTTTAACAGTAAACAGACCAAACTTGCCTTGCTATGTAGCCTCCAGCCCTTTACCTAGCAGAGCACAGAAGTGCGTGTGTAACTCCAGCAAGATCACTGACTCAGAGACAGTCAGGAGAAGTAAACTAAACCTATTGTCTGAAAAATACTGAGTAAATCAAGGTTTTGTTTCCAAATAAGTGGTTAAGTAAATACCAGATACATTCACCTATCTTTTCTCGTATATAGGTGGAAATTTATGTCCTCTGAAGCATCTCAGATTTCCATGTGCTCCTACTATGGTGGGCGCCCTTACTTTAACACCAGTCTTTCAGACTTTCTGATGAAATAAAAGAAGTAGAACAGGAAGATTTGATCTGGAGTTACACATCTCGCATTTCTCTCGTCTCTCAACTATTAGACAGGGTCTTCAGTTTATCACAGTCACAGTGGATACTGATAGCTTTATCTAACAAAAGTGGACGATCCCTGCTAGGTGTATGGGGCCTGCTGGGGCAATCCTGTGAGGATTGATGTGAGTTGTACATTCCAGTGTTCCGTTTTCAAGTTCTGGCCTTTGGAATTACATAATTCCTCCCCTCCTGTATCATGATCACTAGTAAAGGAAGGCCTGTTCTTGGCTGGGGTTTCTGGATAATTTAACTTTTGATGCTGTTTAAAATTTAGTTGTGTCCATTTTCTGTTCTGACAGAGTGTAGACCTGGATGACCACCACAAACCTGAGTTTAGAAGAGTTTGCAGTTCTTCCATCATTGAAAATGGGCATCAGTCTTCATCAGGTAGGAACAGGGCAAGAACTGAAGGATTACTTTAAAAAATACCTGATTCTGGCAGTCATAGAGCAGCTTTTGGATGTTGGAACCATTAAAATCTGAAATGGTTTCAGGATGGATTTTGTGCTGCGGCTGTTTGTTTCCTAATTAGGAGTCTAACTTTCAATGTTCAACTTCAATGTTAAGCATGCACTGCTTGTTTCATAAACTGGAGACTATAATCTCAGTGCCCCCCTGATAATAAGATCAGCTGTTGTGGGTTCCATTATAGCCTTACATCTCAAAACATCTTGCAAATTACCAATCTATTTAAATCATCCTTCACTGGGGGCGTTTGCTTCTGATCAATATTTTAGAGAAAACTGAGGTGCCCAGCATTTTGTGAAACTAGAAAAGAACAAGGATGCTGATTTCGAATCTGCATCACGTGGCTGGGTTGCACAGAGGAAGAGGAGGAGCTTACCAAATGTAGGTGCTAGTGAACTAATAACCTGAAAAGGCTGTTTTTGCTGAATGTCATGCAGGACAGGTACCAGGATTGTACTTCAAGTTCTGCAGGGTGCTGTAAGTGGTGTGATGTCTCAGAGGGAGAACTGGGTAGAATACTTGGATTGACTTTGTACAGAGTTTGTAATTTTATTACAAGTATTAAGTAGATTTACTTCCTTTCTGCTTTTCTCTTATTCACCAGGTCAGGCAAAAGCCTCCCATCAGCTGCCCTCTTCTTATAGGTCAGACTCTTCCCCTGAGGCCCATGCTCCTGTAATGACCTTACAGATGCCCCACCTTCCTGTTACTGCAGTAACCAGAACATCAGAGAAGTTTTCAGGAGAAGCTGCTCATTCAGCAGGAACAACTGGTGCACCCACTGGCCTGCTTGGACAAAGCCAGAGCAAAAGTGAGATGGCATTGAAAGCTTCTAACCAGACAGGTAAAATACGGGGATAAAAAAAAAAAAAAGCAGTATGTTTTCTGAAGCTCTGTTTCATTTCATTACTTCAAGAAACTTGGGACGTGGAGATTGTCCTGTAACCTGGAAGTAATTATGTAACCTTGCTTCTATGGCTTCCCTTTCATGACGGGATGCTCTGATTTGTAATATTGCGGGTCCTAGTTGGAGGTTGAGTTCATAATGTCACATCTTCTGAGAATTTTTGTTGCCTAATATAATTGAGTTCACAGTGCAACCTAATATTCTAGTGCAGTTACTGAAGAAGTATCTTGAGAAGTTAAGGGAGTATTTGCTAACAGGTTTAAAAATTGTTTGGAGGGAGGAATGACTGACAGCAGACTGACAAGTAGACAAAGTTACTGCAGAATCTTATCTGTAAGTTAAATTTGTTAAAATAGAAAAGCTCATGTCATTTGATTTATAGTCAGATAATTTGTCTTTGGGCTGCATTTTGTGTGTGTTTAGTGTTGGCGATGCTTTATTGATCAGAAACAGTAGAGATAGATCAGATGGAATTGCCAATGAGAAACAGAGTATTTGCAGTTTCATCTTTCAAATGTTATCATATTCAAGCTAAGAATGTAGGAAAGCATCCCTCTGTTGCTTCCCCTCCCTCCCAATTTCAGTGAGAACAGTGACTTCATCTGCCAATGGAAGTGAGTATCCCACCAGTGCATCCTTATGCAAAGCATTTTGAGAGGGATTCCGTGTTCCGTATGTGGGGGATTCAGATCTGAGCATCTAGTTCCATTTAATAGGTACGTGACAGTATTAAAATCACTAACGAGATTGCGTGCAGATTCAATTTTCTGGGTATCGTGGATCCTTGTTTTAGTTTATTGGGCTCTCCACCAGTTCAACGCAAGTGGGCACCTATGTATATTTGCGTAGTGGTGTGCATGTGTAGAGTTAGGCATTCTCTGCAGTGGAAAACAATAGGTGCCAGAGAAGAAGGTCAGAATGCAGTTTCATTGGTGAATGTCTCAGGTAATCGAAAAAAGGGGCCGAATGCAAGCTAATGACAGCTGGGAAGTAGTGGGCCCACTCTGGATTTTAAAGCAAGTTTGTCTGAGCAGAAGAAGAGTTAGTAGTCTGCATGTGTAAATGCGTAAAAGGACAAGATGCCTTTAGGACTTTTTATTCCAGTAGGAAGTGACGACTTGAGCTTTATCTAAAACTGCTTCTGATTTATATCACCAAGCTGTTACCATGACACAATGTACTGGCATTTCACAGTGATCTCAAATCACACTCCTCCCCAGCTTAAAACCTGTGAGATTTGTACAGCTGTTTGGCAGTTGTTTGTGCTTCCAGATTTGCTTCTGTATGCTGACATTTAATGGAGTGTTATAAATGAGATGTCTAGTTGATCTGAGTCCTTTAATAGGCCAGCAGTTCAGTGCCTTCGTAGAGTGACTTGGACAGCAATTAGGTGGAATTGCTTCCAAGATGTCAGTCTTTCATCTTTGTCTATGTGAGAAGCCTTCCATAAATGAAGAAGCCTTGTACAAAACGTTTTGGCTTTAGTTAGTGTTAAGTCTGGACAAGTCACTCCATTCTCCACATCTGTGGTGCCTAGACTCTAGTATGGGGCTCTAAGATGGAAAGCACAAAAGATGTAACCTCAAAAGCAAGAGGAGGAAGATGCAAGGTTGATTTTTGAGCTACCTTTGGAGTACGTTCTACTTTAAAATTAGGAAAGTTCCTAGTGTAAGTTAAGATTGGGTAATTTACATTATGCTGTCAGTTGTGGTAGGCATCCCAATACTGCTTAGATCTGCCAAAGTGACTGTGGTGAGCTAAGTCACAGCACGCTTCTCTCCTTTCAGTGAGACAGCCATGGCTGTATGCCCTCCTCTAAGGTCTGCACAAGGGCCTAGAAGGACCCAGTGTTCCCAGCACAACTTCACCAAAGGCATTTTCTCGTAGTCTTGGCTGGCCTGTGAACACAATCTTTGCTGTAGTGCAACAGCGTTGCTGTGGGAATGAATCCCTGGGGAAAATCTTTCCCCGGTTTTTCAATTTGCAATAGGACCTGGACAGAGGCCTGCTACTTCTTACCGCAGGGGGTGAAAAGCCGTGCAGGACTGTCTGACCAGGAAATGGTTTGAAAAATCAGGAGGGAAGGACAGAAAAACGTTTCAACATTAATACTACTTTTTCTTTTGGTACAGTGAATGCCACGTCTGTCACTAAGCCTGTCTCTACTGCAAGCTATGAAGCAAGCAGTGGAAACAAAACTGGTGAAAGGTAAGCATTTATCTTGACGTTTGTTAGGCCATTGTGTTCTGTGTGTTCTTGAAGTATCTTGCTGATTTACAGAACAGGTGAGTCCCGGATGCTGTAATTTAAACACATTAAAGTTTGTAAGCCTCCATGAGAGCTTTGTGGAGCAGAGATGAGAAGGAAAGAGGGAAAGAAAACAAAAACCAAAACCAACAATCAACCTTTTGCAGAGCAGCTGAAAGCAGACTGAGTTGTGGATTCCACGTTTTCTTAAGATGTGCTGCTAGCGCTGTACTACTCTGCGGTGGATTTTTAGGGGAAGGGAGATCTCGGGCATTTGGAAAATACCTTTGAAAATAGTCAGATGTGTCAGATTCTGCTTTGAACTTATATTTTGAAAACCAGCGAATGACTGCCATCAAACATCCATAGTTTGGCTAGACTAGAGTTTGGTCTGTAGATAAACGCATTGCAGGATACAGAAGAGTTCTAGCTGTCTTTTTGGGGAAAAAAACAAAAGGTTACTTTTTTTTTCATTAATACAGTCACAGTTCCTTAGTATAGTGTTATATGGTATGGCAATTACTACAGCCACAACCAGGCAATCCTGGCATGCAAAATAGGCATCAAGAAAAGGGAGAGAATAGCCAATTTAAATCTCTTAAGTTGAGCTTTTTCATGCCTTGAAAATCATACAGATTTTGACACAACGTTTCTTCCAAGTTTGTTCCAACATTTGACATACCAAGCACTTTGCAGATCTTGCTGTCAGGAGAATGGCCTCCAGATATATCAGAACTTTACAGTCAGTTCAGTGTCACACTCTTTGCTTCAGTTTGTGCATCATGGGGAGCGCTTTCACAGCTAAGCCTGGCTTACTTCCTTAAGTCTGATGCAGTGGTTTACTGCTCAAATAAACACAAATGAAAATATAATCCTTTATATTAATCATATTTTCAAGTTGCAATCAGTGAAGCACCACCAATGTGCTCAGGATTCTGTGTACTATAACTAAAATTTTCAAAATTACTTCCTGAATTGCTGTTCAAGTTTATTTTTAAAATGTGAATTAAATCTTCTGGGAAACGAACACTTGGAAGTTACAGGGATTCAGTACTTCTGCGTCTCCACCACTTTTGCTTTAATTTATGTGCTTTCTTAAAGGTGTTGCTGTTCTTCTACTCTGGGCTGTAAAGCCTTTGTGGCTTGGCTAACTATGTCTCATGCCTAAAAGAACCTTAGAACTTTCTGTACTTGAGTGCTATTGTCTATTAATAGAACTTTAACCTTCACTTAAATTACTTTTGACCCATTCTCATCCTCTTGAAGTTGCTGTTTTGACAGGCAACCCTGGGCATTTATGCTGACCGCTGGCACTGCAGAGTGCTGCTTTTCTTTTTTCTTTAACCACGTAGTTTTCCTGTAATTCTTTTCTAGTGCAACTGATAATTTCTGTGGTGTGACGCCCAAGCCTCACTCCTCTCCTCCTGCTGTACAGCGTCAAGTCGAAAGAAGGCGAGAACTGGTACGGTCTCAGACGCTTCCACGAACTGCAGGAACACAGGCCAGGAAAGCGCTTTTTGAGAAATTTGAGCAGGACAGTGGGAAGTATGTCACTCTCTTACATCTGCAGAATGGATTTGTTTATGGGAAACTGATTTGTTGATTGTTGCTAGCAGAGGACAGCTTGGTGGGAAGACACAGTGTAGAATTTGGAGCTCGGGGGGCTGTAAAGTAACGTACAGATTTGCTGACATTGCACATTGAGCCCTGGAAATTTACAGGTACAGCTTTCTATCTTTGAAGTTGTTTAGCTGAAGAAGCTGATGCCTTTTATTAGGAGTGTTGTGAAAGCTGCCTCCTCTTCTTAAAATAAGAAACTGAGGCTCTTTTGTTGTCATTTGTTAAGGAAGAAGAACAAGGACTACTCTTTATACATCACGATAAGGGCATGATTTAAACAGAAGAAGACTCAAAATCCTGGCTTCAGTGAAATGAAAATGTTTTTTAGTTGTGGAACCGGCATGTTGAAATTTTAGCCATGTGTTTCTCAAACATCATCTGATCAGGGAGTGAATCTGGGCAAGGTTGCATGTATGTTGCTGACAAGTAGGTTTAAGTTATTCTAGGATGTAATTTAATCCGGTCTCTGTTAATTTTCCAGAGGAAAAGGACAATCCAGACCTAAACTGAAGAGATCACAGAGTTTTGGGGTTGCCAGCGCTAGCAGCATTAAGCAAATTTTGTTAGACTGGTGTCGCTCAAAAACCATAGGATACAAGGTGAAGACATTAGCACTTCCAGCTCTCTTTTTCAGAAGAACCTACTCAAAAACTGAATGTAAAACATGCTGAGCAGTGAGTTAACTTCCCCCGGTGTCATGGTGTTCTGACACCGTGTTGCATGGGCAACACTTCAGGACAGTCATTGCATGAATGAGATTTTTCTATGTCTCTCAAAGCATCGCAGCAGTGTTTGCTCTGAAAGCTGACATTTCCATGGTTATGTGTGGGCTTCACTATACTCGTGTATTTTTCTTAGATGCAGACTGTGATTTTTGCATTCTCATCACATAAAGTCTGGACAGTATTTTTCCAGTATGTAGAACCTGTCTCATTTTGGCTGCACAAAAGACCAAATTATTCTCTTCTGATTTTAGATAAGTGAATTTTTATTAAATATCTGAGAGAGAATCACAACATGTTAGTGAATTAATTTCTGTAAGGCAACATCACAGTAGATAAGAGAATTCAGTTGCTGAGATCTTCAGTAATTTTACCTGGCCTTAAGCCATAATTCCCAAAGCAGTTTCAAGGGGGAAGAGAAAAATTTTCCAGTTTTGTTTGTGGCTTTTTTTTTCCCAGTAATGCATGTTCTTCAGCATTGTGTAAAATGTGCTAAATCGCAGTGTTTTCCAGCACAGCTAATGAACGTGACTGCTGGTTGTTAAAGAGGAAAGTTGGGTTTCAAACTTTATATGATGTGAAAGCAACACTAGCAGAGAACCAAAACATCCTTTGTTTCATTCTGGCAGTTGAAAGTAACAATAAACATTAGTTCTAAGAAGCAGAGTCTGCAGCAGGCCTAACTCTTCCAGTATTTCTACTGCTCTGTATAATAAAGAAGCAATGAATTAGGCCTTACTGAGCAGCAAGTAAGCAGGTCTTTATCCAGTATTATTTACCACAAGGTGAACCGTTTTTCAATTATAAATACTTCACAGGCATAAGCAATGTCCTCACTGCACGTCGACACTGAGCTGGAACATTGGGCCTGCTCCAGAGCTCACTGAGTTTCACGAGATTCTTCACAGTATTTTACAGCTTTTGGGATCAGGGACCTTGAGTGTTTGTTTGCTTTGTATCTGGGCACGTCAGGCAAGAGGCCCTTTCTTCTCAGAATACAATGAATGTATTGGACATGCGCACAGAGGAAGGAAAACCACAAAGCCTGTGCTCCGTTACTCAGTCAGTGGGAGAACAGGACAGAAAGCTACAGTGAGTGAAAGCAACTGCTCTTCCATGTTCTCCAGCACTGCACTAATGTGTGGTTTTTTCATTGTGACAGCACATTGATCTCCAGAACTTCTCCTCAAGCTGGAATGACGGGATGGCATTCTGTGCTCTTGTACATTCTTTCTTTCCTGAAACTTTTGATTATAATAAGCTTGATCCAGCTAACCGCAAGCAGAACTTTGAGCTGGCTTTCACCATGGCTGAGTGAGTATTGCCTTAAATCTCTCTGAAGTGCTTGCAGTTCCAATCTCAGGAAGCTGGACAGCAGTGAAGAGTTTAATCATTCTTTCCGTAGATCCTATATCATTAACTTAAGTGTGTTGTGCTAAAAAATGCAGCTCTGCACGAAGAACGCATAGAACAGCAACTGAAAATCAAATGTGATTTTGCCAGACGCAGAGTAGCTGACTGGAGTCCCATGTTCAGAACTGTCTTTGAGTGGTACTCAATTCTGCTTTCTCACTTCTGTGATCCTAGAAGCAATGCTAGAACATGTGACTGCTGCAGCTTCTGTTAGCAGTAGGTTTCACTCACTGCATTTTGCCACAGATGATATTGCTAACAAGACTGCTACTGCACAAAGCCATTAGCTTCAGAGGATCTCTGGAGTCCTTAATTCTGTTGCTTCTCATTGTTCCCTGATGCTGTAAGACTGTACTGTAGTTTTGATCTTACATTTGTATGCATTACTGGCTTTTTCAGTGAGTGTATGTGCAGTCACTGGATTTCAGTTGTGCTCTACATAGATGTAGAAATTCACAGCTTGCACTTGTCACACTTCAAGGTGCCTTATTAACATCTGCTGTAAATGCTTGCCTTCCAATATTTGGTAGTGTGTATTGATAAGAACTTCATTACAATGGGATGCTGCTTTTAAAAGAAAATAGCCCTGGCAAATATATTTTATAGAGGTTGTTACTGACAGAATATTATTTCTCAGGTCATGTAAATGACTACCTGGGAAGTTCCTAAACCGTACATATTTGCATTCTCTGGGACTTACAAGACAAAACCCAGAGTGTATATAGCCCAGCCCATTAGAAACACAATATAAACAGAACAGATTGCATGACAGAAGTAATTGTTAACAACCTACTGGATGGCTGTGTGTTGGTAAGCGAGACTCGCATACTTTGATCTTGAATGATCTGTGTTTAGCTGTCCGAGTAGTTTCCAGAAAAAGAAAGTTGCAACCTGCAGATTAAAGTACATTTTAGGTATTTACTGTCTCTGTTGTGATTTGTACATTGCCAGCGGGTGTGCAGTATGACTTCTGTGTCCTTGCATTTCTTAACTGAGCAGTTTGGTTTCTCTGTTAGCTTCTCTGCCAAGGAATGCTGAGTAGAAGCCATGTTTGGCTTCTACTTACATTGATGTTTGCCTAGGTCTGCAAAAGGTTATTAACAGGGAGGAAAGTTGTTCAGTTATCAGCCTGCCACTTCGTTTATCGTGTATCCTTATTTTTGTATGGATTTTAGTATCAATGACAGTTAATCTTTCACATAGGCTATCATTAACAAATTCTACTCGTGCAGAATTACAGGGGTTTGCATCTGTGGAAACTGATGCTCAGACAAACTCAGTTCAGCCTAGTGAATGTATTTGAATACTACATACCTGTAATACAAATAAATGCAAATTACTCCTCAGTCTTCAGAAAGATTTATTCTGCATCTCTTTTATGTATTACTTGGGGAAATAATTATTCTGGTGATAACTAGCATCACAGTGTTATGTATTTGATGGTTTATTGGTCGGGCACTGCAGTGCTCTCTCCTGATCAGATGAAGTGGAGACTAACCTTTAATTATGGGCAGAACTGATCTGTGTACTCAACTGCAAAGATAGATCCCTCAGGTTCCCACAGATGCTTCTTTTGCAACAGACTGGTGTGTACCAGTTAAGATGGCATTTCTTCTTTCCCCTTCTGAAAGTAACAGGAACAAAGCTTTGGCTTTATCGGTGTTGTCGGGACCACGTACACCATTATATGGTATGCATGTAATGGAAATAAGGGTGTTGTAATGGAGAGAAACAGCAAGCGCAGTACTGGTGAAAACCCTGTGTCCTGCCTCTTTATTGTTCTGTAACGTATTCAAAGTCAACAGGTCTGAATTGCATTATAAAGCGACTTCTTTCCAGTGTTCAAAAAAGATAAATTGTAAGCATGGGAAACTAATTCATAAAGAATAAGGGAGAGGCAGCCAGTGCTATCGTTCATGTAGAACTTATATTTCTGGAAATGTAAAGAATTCTATTGTGTGGTTCTCTGTTTAGGCAAACAATTGCAGATCTTCAGCATTTCAGTGTAATTGTGCAATTAACATTGCAGTTGCTATACCACAAACATGTCATTTAAATTGGGAAAATTTAGTTGTGGTTACTTTGTCAGCCTTAGCTAAACTTGAGAAAGCAGGCTAATGAGTTCACCTTAGAGGAGTAAAAAGCCAACCACTGTATACTACTTCTATGTTGGATTTTTTTTTTTTTTTAATTATTGGGGGAGAAAGTGTTGTTTGTAGGTTTTTTGTTTGTTTTTTTCATTTTGTTTTTCAAGTAATTAAGAAGTCTTAATGGATTTGTCCGTGTCAGTCATAAGAAAGGAAACTTGAATTCATAGAGCACAATGCATCCAACTTTTACCCGACAGCCCACTGGGACTGGATGTTCAACTTGTAGCTTCTTTGCCAATCCCACCTGCACAAAACACGATTTGAATCTCAGGCATGTTAATGTATGCAATGTCTCCAGGAAAATCTGTGACCCTTAAAGGGGAAAGAGCAAGCAAATTAGCTTTTGGAATTGAGTTTTGTGTGAGGGTTCATAGAATCACAAAATGGCTTCAGTTGCAAGGAACCTTAAAGATCATCTAGTTCTACCTCCCCCTGCTCTAAGAAGGAATGCCAGACATTACATCAGCCTGCTTACAGCCCCACCAAGCTGATCTTGAATGCCTCCAGGGAATGGAGCATCCACAACTTCTCTGGACAACCTGTTCCTGTGCCTCACCAACCTCTAACTAAAAAATTTCCTGCTAATATCTTACTTAAATCTCTCTTATTTTAGTTTAAGACCATTCTAACTCCTTCTATTACTATTCGCCCATGTAAAATATTTGGGCTTTTTTTTTTTTATAAGCCCCCTTTAAGTACCAGAAGGTTGCAGTGTGGTCTCCTCAGAGCCTTCTCCAGGCTAAACAACCTCAACTCCATCAACTTGTCTTCATAGATGAGGTGCTTTAGCTCTCTGATAATCTTGGTGGCCTCCTCTGGATCCTCTCCAACAGCTCCATATATTTCTTGTGGTGGGAGCCTTAAGCTTGAGCACGGTACCTCAGATGGTGCCTCACAAGGGCAGAGTAGAAGGGGACAATTGCCTCCTTTACGCTGCTGACTGCTACTTTGTTTTGAGGCATTCAGGATGTAGTTGACCTTCTGAGCTGCAAACGCACACTGCAGGCTCATGTTGAGCTTTTCATCCATCAGAACCTCCAAGTCCTTCTCTTCATGGCTGCTCTTAATGAGCTGCTCTCCCAGTCTGTTCTCATGGCTGGGATTGTCCCAGAGAAAGTGCAGCACTTTGCATTTGGAGTTGTTCAACCTCATTTAATTCATGTGGGCCCACGTCTCAAGCTTGTCCAGGTCCTTCTGGATGGCATTCTTTCCTTCTGTTGCATCAACTGCCTTGCAGAAGTTGAGGTAGATGACATCAGTTGCTCTTCCCTTGTCCCTATTCTAGCACCTGGCAAATTATTTATGTAATTTGTGAATCACAGTTTTTTACACAAATAAGCATACACAAATTTTCTTACACATCAGTGAGTTAAAATGACACTACAGCATTTTCAGATGGTTACTCTCTGAACTGAAAATATATACAACTCTCAAAATTGAAGTGTGCTTTTACCTCAATTTCAATCTAGCAATAAGTATAAGGAAAAGTCAAGAACTTGAGCATGCACACAAAGAGAGACATTGGGTAAGAAATATCTACAGAAATTACTTCTCCTTAGCTGTGATGGCGTCTGAACTGTTCTCTTATTGCCAGAAAAGGCTCTCAACTATTGCTGTTAGCCATCATGTGAGCTCCACAGCCCAAATGCTTGCTGTCCTTGTGATTTTTAATCCTAGGCTTGAGCAGATCTTTCTTTTTCTTCACAATGCTCCAGATCTCAGGTTTGTGCTCTCCAACATGACGGTCATCTTGGACAACAGTCCGAGTTGCTCATGTAAGGACAGGGGAAAGCAAACAAGAAGAACCTATGGCCACTTTGGCTTTTAATGAGCACATCTGATCTCATGTTTTCCTATTCTTTAGAAGTTTTCTGTTTAATAAGTAGAAAAACTCATAGTTTGCAAACTCATTTTGCCCTGTTTACTAAGTCTTGGGCACAGGAATGAGATTATATTACGTGCCACAGAAACATAGGACAGGGAAAAAGGCCGTACAAGATTGGGTCAGATCACAGTATAGAGGAAAAGAGGGGAAGAACAAGTATTTTCCATGATCGCTAAAATAACAGCCTCCAATATTACCTCAGCCTGACCATTTCACTGTTCCTGATAAATCTCAGGATTTCTTATATCCCTCAGTGATGCTCAACTCGGAGCAGCAAAGAATCTTGGAAGTAGTTACAGGCTTTGGCTTTAACTCTTGATTTGCTGAATCTGTTTTATTATTACTACAGGAAAATGGCTCACTGTGATCGTCTGATAGAAGTGGATGACATGATGATGATGGGCCACAAGCCAGATCCCATGTGTGTCTTCACTTATGTCCAATCTCTGTATAATCATCTACGGCGCTTTGAGTAAAGCCATCACCACCCATCCAGCCAGAATGATCAAGTACATTGTGCTAATGGGAAGACTGACATTTTGCAAATAGAACACCGTTAGTTCTTGCAAGCATGTGGACAGTGAAAAGCATTCAATTGTATTTGCGGACTGAAGTGTTGCTGAGCAGTGCCTATGTACTTTTGGTGCTAATAGTAGGTTTAATTTTTAATATTCTCTCAAAGGTTACAGGAAGCTGAATCTCAGCTCCTGTCTCTGTTAGAATTACAGAATGGCTTGGGTTGGAAGGGACCTTAAAGATCATCTAGTTCTCATCCCACCGCTGTGGGCAGGGTTGCCACTCGCTAGATCACGTCGCTCAAAGCTTCAGCCACCCTGGCCTTGGATACTTCTGGGAATGGGGCATCCAAAACTTATCTGGGAAACCAGTTCCAGTTCCTCGCTGTCTTCATGGTAAATAATTTCTGCCTAATATCTAATCCAGATCTCTACCCTCTTTTGGTAGGGTAACTCCTTGTCCTGTTGCTACATTACTGGGCTAGAAACAGTTTTATACGCTGACAAGTAATTCTGCTATGAAGATGTTCCCTCCTAAAAATACAGGTAAAACTCTAGGAGGCAGCTACTTCACTTCCACTTCTTTGCTCAGTATCCCACAGAAATAATAGACAAGAAAGATCCTGTTTAGCAAATTTAGCAATATTACCCCTCCACCATCTCCATCCCACTCCAGCGAATGCGTGCGTGCACACATGCGCGTGTGAAATAGGCACTATTCTGAGCTCTGGAGAGCAGAGGCCCAGCGTGGACAGGAATGAAGCCTTTACAGCTTCAGTCCCCGTGTTCTCTCTCTAATGTGGCCAGGCAGTGTTCCAAAAAAAAGTGTGAAATACGTGGGAGCTCTAAAATGCCTCGGGCTAGTATCTGGTTTCAATTAAATGAATGTTAAGTCAACAGTGTCTCCATTAACTAGAGTGGGTTTGCGCCAGAATTGCTAGACGTAAAGTTCATGTTTTATCTTTTCTGACTTTCTGTTTGCTAAATCAACATAGCTTTGTTCTCCCATTGAACGCTGTAAACAAAAACACTAAATAAGCATATTTTTTTTTCTAGGGCCTTTTAATGTATTTCTATTCTAAGAATAGTCTATATAAAGTAAAAACGGCCAGCCGCAAGCCCTCAACTCATGCTAGAGAATGGGTTTTTAACCTGCATTTATTTATGCTCTTTGTAGATAGTTACAAAGATGACTTTGGCTCTGTGTTGATGACAGTTCATAATGAAACATATAAAATGTTCTTTAGAATTACTGCTTCTTTATAGAAGGATTTTATTTTATCCTTCCTTTCCAGTGAAGTTTACTTAAGAAACCATGAATGAAGCAACCGCTTTATCAGACAAAGTCTGAAAAGAAAAAGCCATGTAAAGGTAGAGTATAAGCCACCTGCTGAAGAGCTGGATCACCAAAAGCTGTTTGCAGTGTGCCCAGCCTGTTTCTACAACACGCTGGAAACAGCTTGAAAGCGTGTTTGAAATGTGCATCTTAGTATGGTTCTGAAAGACGTGATTAAACTGGCAGTGATCCCAGGCACTGCTCATACAGGTTTAGTGCAAGTGGGCAGAGGGCAGGCAAGGTGTTTGTAATGTGTCTGCCATTGCCTTTGGTTCCTAACTTTCTTGAATGATCATAGTTCTGATGGATAAATTGTTCCAACAAACACTCTGTGAACCAGTTGTGTTTTGGAGAAATGATGAATCAGGCACAATGAGAAATGAGTCTGCAGTAGGTATGTGACGTGCGTATTTCCGTTCTTATAGCGGAATATTTTTCATCGACTAGCAGAGCCAAGTTCCACTGCAGCTGTATTACTGGCAGCAGCAGCTTTATACATTTGATTTGTACGCAGTCTCAGGTCATGAATGATTGTCCTGTGTGATTTGAGTGCTGAGGACATGGTTAAGTGCTTGGCCCATTTTGGTCTAGTAGCAAATAACTATAAAAAAGGAAATTCTAGGCATAAGTAGTTTTGCCAATTCATGAAGGGGAATTAAGGTTTTTGCTACAGTTGAGCTTGTTCTCATTTACCCAAAAGCTGTTTGTGCAGTTTCCAAAATTTCTCCCATTTTAAAGAGACGATCATAAAGGCATCTTGCCAGCTGGGGAGTAGAAGACAGGTTTTAACTCCTGATGGTTTGTATATAAGGACGTGATAGGTATGGTATTATCGCATAGTTATAGGAAAGTACAGTGCACTAAAATGCGTTAGAGAATGCCTGATCAAAATATATAGCCTGGATGAGATTGTATGATTAAATTTAATGATGTGTGTAAAGTATCCCCTGATGTTTTTTTAGTGTTTCTGGTTAAAAGTAATACAGTGTGCATGAATATGATGGTAAATGTATTTAACATGAATGACAAAGGAACAATGTATGAAGTCAGCATATTGTGTTTTACACAGATAGAGTGTCTCGGATTTTTTTTCCAGTTTCTGCACTGTATCCAATATTCAGTACTATCTCAGGTTGTTGGCATCTTCATCCTACTTCTAAAGTCTGGATCAATTTTTTTATGTCAGATTTTCAGAATACTCCCAGCAGAGCCATTACCTACTGTTTAGGTGATTGTATTTCTCCTTGTTAAAACCTTCAAAGCCCTCACACTTTCGGCCTTTAAGCACATTTTGTTCTCTTTAGTCAGTGTTGTTGTTTACAAGCCATTTCTGAGCAGTTTTGCCTTAGAACATAGCACTGAAATAGACTACATGCTGGGGGATTAACCTTCAAAAGCTGTGAGTAATTCTGTTCTTAAAAAGCAATGCAAGTGACTCTCTGTCTTCTTGTACTAGCTGTATATGAAATTAACAACAAAGACAAAAGGATAGCTGTTAAAGATGCGCACTGAAATCTAAGCAGTGCAAGCATTTTCTTAGGCCATCGTTCACTGCCACTGTCCATTTGATTTTCACTTTTAAAAAAGTATCTCCATAGGTGACTTTCAAGTAACCAAATCTATTGACCCATCCTGAAGGCACTGCATCTGCTACAGATAGATATCATTACAGGGAGATTAAAATGGTAGCCCAAGCAAGTCCGAGGGATCTGTCCCAAACCTGTCACTGGCAGAGGTTTCCGGTTTGTTGAGAGTCTACAGCATCTCTGCCTCTAAAAATCCTGGCTTCTAACAAGGACTTGTAGACATAAATGGTGAATGCCATTAAATCAGTACTCGTAAGACAAATAACGATAGAAGTGGAGGAAATATTCTATGAATATAGAAGATTCTTGTTCTATTGAGCAAAGCAGCAAGAAAGTTCTGATTAGCCTACACATTCTGGACTGAGGGAGGAAATACAGGTAAAATTCCAGTTCCACTTTATCTGCATTCTGGTTTTGATGCTCTCCAGTGGAGCACTGTCACGAGTGCTGACTGCAGTAGCAGTACCAAATACACTGCTGGGATCATCACCTGATCGAGCATGGATGGAAGTAGGGAAGGGATTGGGACAGGGCCCTAGGAAAGAATATCCCATGAACTTCAGCTTTTTAGGGAAAAAAAAAACACAAAAAACCCACAACAAAACAACATTCACTTTTAGAACTATTCCTCACCTCTGGTTTGTCAGTGTTACCGCAGTTTTTGCCAATGGTGAAACATTAAGAATGCTTTTATGGAGGGAAATCGAACACTCAAGCTAAAGGCTGAGCTGGTTTTTAAAGGTAGACTTAAGCTGCCGTTCCAACTGCTGATCTTGTCTCAATATACACTGTTAAAGTTACCACAGAACAATCCAGTGGCCTGGTTTGAACCTTATGAACAGGAACCGTCAGGCCCCATTATATTCTACGTAAACCTATAGAAGATTATGTCATTTCAAATTTGTTCATGATTCAAAAAAAGCTTAAAAAGGACAAAAACCAGGCTGCATCCTGTGATTCCATCAAAGAAAGTGCCTTCTCATGTCCACGAACACGTTACATAGAGGCAGTAATACATAATAAATTTGTTATAAAAAATCATACAGAAGTCATACAAATCATCCATGATTCGCCATGGCAGAGAACTACTGCTGTCACCACAGTCTTATTCCCATTTCTAAAGCAAGCAGTGGTGACGGGGTGATACTGTGATATTGTGAAGCAAGTGTAGCACTTTGCCTTTGGCAAGGGAATAGGCTATAGTAGTCAAGATAATATTAAGCAATAACACTTTTCACCTAATAATACAGATTTACAACACGAAACAGTGTTTGTGGTAAGAGGCAGAATGCATGTTTGAAGTGGAACACACAAACTCATCGTGCAACTCTGTAGCCAAATACCACGTTCATTCATCTTTCCTCTCATTCCTGTTAGTTTCAGCTAATAATCAGCTGCAGTCTCGTGCTTTATCCTAATGCCAGTAAAACGTGAAAAAGCAAAAACCCCCACCCTACAGTAATCTTTAACATGCGTGGGTCAATGAATAAGAGCCATGCAGGAAGCATTTGTTGTTACTGATAATAAGTTCGTATAATGTTATAAAATTCATCCCGTAAATCTGGGCTTTTTAATCATAACTACTGGACAGCTCAGTTCACCTGACATCACCTTTTGGATTATATGTATTATATGCATCAAGACACTGTGATCTTGGATGGTTAACTTTACACAGCGCCCTGCAAGGCAGCGTACAGACTTCAGTCAAACTTTTTCTCATCAGATTTGTAAAATGTTAGCGCAGTAAACACAGAGTTTGATCTTTCAACTGCATTGGAATTGGTTTTGACTTGCGTCTATTTCTACTGATTGTGCTGTTAAATTTATTTGCAACTGCTTTTTTTTCCTGTTGTTGTTGTTGGTTTGTATTTACACGCGTGGGAATTTGGATATAGTTTTCAGTATACCCAGCAGTGTCATCTACACGGTTCACAGTGGAAAGCTTCGTGCATCAGGAAATACCCAGACAGCAGCTGCTGTGCCGCACCGCCTTTCTGAGGGTGATGGTAAAGAGAGCAGGTGGTGCTGGAGCATTTGGTACAAATTGTAACAAACATTAAAACATGCCTTTGTGAATTTAGAGCTGGAAACGTGTGTGTTTTTGTTAGCATAATGTCAGTGTCAAGACGGTCGTACGTGACATCACAGCCACCGCCTGGGCGTCAGTTCCGCCGTTTCTCCGGTGCCGCGGAGCCGGGGTGCCCGGTTTCCGGGAAATCCCGTGACCTCGCGCCCGTTCCGCGCCCGTTCCGCGCCCTTCCCGCTGCGACAGATTGGCAAGCACCGGGGCCGAGCGCGGCCGGTGCACCGCCAGAGGCCAGCAAAACCCGAACTGCGGCCGCAGCAGCGCACGCACACAAGCCTGAAACCGCGACCGTTGGTAAGAAGCGCGTTGGGGGGCGGGCCAGGCTGTGGAGACAAAGCGATTGGCCACGGCAAGTCAAGTGGCGCCTGCGATTGGCTGGCGGGTGTTTGGGTGAGTGGAGGCGTTGCGCGACCAGCGGGCGGGGTTGGTTTGTGCGGAGCGGGCAGCAGCGGCGGGCAGCGGGGAGCTCGGTGCTCTCCTTTGAGGAGTGATGGGGCTATTCCGGAATTAACAAACCACTCTAATTTCTTTACAAATTATCGCGGAGTTGATTTTGCCGATCGTTTGATGAACAGCACGCTCAGGAAATCTACTATGACTTAAGCCCTGAAAACCACCTGAGGTAAAAATAAAATTTTCTTCTGTTTTAGAATTTGTATTAAGGGACAAGTTGTACATGGAGTGTTAATTTAGACTTTAACTTTAGCATCTAATGTGGTGTTTTTCTGTCTCCTCCATTTCTTCTCTCAGGCTCCCAGTCTTTTGTCCCAGGTAGGTCAAGAACACGGTTCCCATGAAAATGGAGTAGAGAAAGAATACTGCTTAAAAAATATTGTAGAACTGAAACTTCAGATGGGTGCACAGCACACCTTTCATTTGATTTCAGATTTTTAAAATGCATTTCTGCAATATGTCCATTAAAAATTACTGTGGAAACCATTTCAATTAACATACAGTAAGTTTTTATTTCTAGACAGACCTTATCTGTCAGTGAGTGAAAGGAAGTGCTCCTGTTCTTCCACCCGATAGAGCAAAAGCTGGTTGGTTTGCTAGAAGCCATGGTGCATAGCAACCACTTTGTTGACCTCCCGTGTCGTTCGGAGCCCCCTCCTGGAACATTTGTCTCTCATTTAAAAATGCACTGTGGTGCTGCTTTGGAGATAGAGACTGCACAACAGCTGGGAGCAAATCCCACCGTGAAGGGAAACAGAAGATGGGGCTTTTAGCTGGGCTCTGCCCTTGGGAATAAGCAGTGTGAAGCAGTATCAGTTAAGGGGAGAAAGAGATGTTTTAAGGACGCCTGTGCTACAGCAGGGACAAACTGTGTTGCAGAGGAACTGCTGTGTTTAAATGGGGAGAGAAGTTATTTCAGAAACACTGGGGAAACACAGTGCTCTAAAAGAAAAACTGATATTGAACCAAAATGCTGTGACTGTGTTTTGGGGACGCTGGTTTTAACTGCCTTAGAAGTGTCCCTTTGTCCTTGTTTAGCCCTCCCTAGACTTCTCAATTTACTTTTATCTGGTGTACTTTCTCCTTCAGTTTTCCAGCTCTTGTTGTCTCATATTTTTCCAGTGACTGTGCTGCCGCTGGTGTTTTTCTTTACAGTCTACCACAACTTGCAGGACACTCTTTAACTCCTACATTTGTTAACTTTTTTTTTTTTTTCCTCCAATTTGCTATGATTGTTTTTCTCTTCTTCTAACTTCCATTTCCAAATTCTCGTTTCTTCATGCTTTTTTGAAGGTTAAAAGGACAAGAATTTTTTTACCTTCCTGGACCCATCCTTATATCTTTTTGCTTCTGCAGCCAAATATAATCCTTTTCCTGTTTTCAGGCTCCGCATTCCAAAAATTCACCTGTGTTCCATGCAGAACCCTTCAAAAACCAATGGCCAGAATGCTACAAGCTCCACCCCAGTTGCATTCTTCAGAATGGCACGTTGCAAACAAGATGCAGTGTGCCAGTGCAGAGTCTCAGAAATCCAGTTCAGAGCGCTTAGTAGCTGAGAGTCGAAGACTGGTGGATGAAATAGAAAAGACAACTCAGAAAACCCAAAGCAGCGTCAACAAGAAAATAGGTAAATCCCATGTATACTTTTCAAGTGGCATTTGAGCTAGGTGTTTGAGAGGGACTTAGAAAATTACATGACTGTGAGTAAGAATATATGTCAAGGGCATGTTATCTGATCTCGTGGAGAAGTCAAGATATCATCCAAAAATATTTTCAAGTGGATTCTTTATTTTGTTTGAAATTATGTCTCCATACGTCAGGTCCAGCATGAAATTCACACAATAATGAAGTCATTCTATTTCTAGCCATATCTAAGATACGACCAACAATGCTCGGGCTTTTATTAACAGTTGTTTGAAATTTTCATTCTGCAGAACAGAGACTGGAAGAAATAAAGTTCTGGAAGCAAGAATTAGATAACAAACTCGAACAACTTGTTAATGAGACAGAGGTACTGGTTACTTTCAAGACCAGGCTGGAGAAAGCCTTGGAGAGCTGCAGAGAGCCACTGGTAATTTCCCAGAAGTGTCTCCTGAACAGGTGAGATTAAGAGGAAGAACATTCACGCAGAGAAGAAAATCTGTGTAACAGACCTTTAACAAATACAGCAGTGGCAAACTAAGGGCCTGCTTGTGCAGCAGAATCACTGTCTGGTTTGTGTTGTAACGTTAGAGGGCCAAGCCCATAAAGGCAAGGAGAAGCTTTGGGTATAGAATGCTGGGCTTCACCACTGTTAGCTATAGGCGTTTCAGCAATGTGACTGATGCTTTTCTCTTTTTATTTAGGCAGAGACGAGCTGGGACTGACTTGGTGCATGATGAAGTGGAACAGGAATTGGTCAAGGAAGCTGGAGTTCTGCAGGGGGTTATTGCTTTGCTTGAACGTACATTAGAACAAACGAATGAGCAAATCAGGTGCAGAGACAAAGAGCATAACAAACATGGGTTAGCTGAAAAGCAGGGCTGTCATAATCTTGACAAGTCATGTCAGGCTGAATGCGGGGCCAAGATTACCTTCAGTGCTACACAGTTATAGAAGTCCTGTTCTAATCCATAACATTTGACAATTAATTGTAAGAAGTTCTGTTAGAACTGAAAGTACTGCCACATGATCTACAACCTTCTCAGCCAATCCTGTGGCTTTAATTCCAATTGAAATTATACCACTGATTTATACGGAATTTGAACCATGCTCTAGGTCTCGGGACGTTGCAAATAACAGTTTGTGAATGAGGAATTTTGAGCAGCATTTGCATGGCCTGGTGTACCATTTCTCACATGCATATTAGGGAGATCTGTAGGTGCTTAGACTTTGGCTTAGAGTGCGATCATTTCTTCCTCTAGACTAAACCGTTCCACAAAATACAACCTGGAAATGGATGTGAAAGACAAGTTCACAGCTTTGATGATTGACAATTACTGTGCTAGCTTGACAAACAACACTCCTGATGTCAGATACGCTGATAAAACAGTGGAAATAGAAGGAAAGTAAGTGGTTATTTAACTTGATGGATATACGTTAATTATATCAATTATAGGATGAACTACTGCAGCAGCAGCAAAATTAAAGTAGCTGTGTGTAAGACAATTCATCATTGTTCTGTTGTACTTGTGTAATTTCTTTTATACTTCTGTCCATCATTTTAGTATCTGTGTAATACATTGTTGAAATAAGCCACAATAATCCTATTTCCAGTGAATTGCTGTTCACCAGAAGTTTTTGAGTCTCACAGATAGCTATAGTAAATTTCTCACGTGGGTTAAACCCAGAATAGATTCCTCTAACTTCCTCTCCTCTCTCAGGGTGTCCAAGCAGGTCAAATGCTGGACTGAGGCAGATGAGGTATGTGAGGTTAATTCATCTGTCCAGTGTGCAGATCTTGGGTGAATTAGTGGTTTCGATGAAGAAATACCAGCACAAAAGAACAGAGTGGCAAGAAGAAACAGGCTGAGTAGCGAGCTGACTTGCTCGGCATAGAAGGGACTGCCAGCTCCTACCACTAGCCATGTTAGTGTCCATCAACAGGTTGTTTAACTCAGGCCATACCCAGAACAGCGTTTGCTGCCATGTACGAATAATGATTATTGAAATGAAACAAAGGAATCTCTGAGGGACTTCCCAGAGACCTGCCTACCAGCCACTAGTGCACAGACAGTACTGTCCCCTTCTGAGGATGGGCTTCCCAACTATTGCTGGAAGTGACTACGTAAGCATGGAGGGCTGTCCTGTGTGCACAGTTAACGTGTGCATAGTAAGTTGGTGTTAATAATACTAGCTGAATTGTAATACTTGTAACACCTTCATTGATGAAAGATGTTCCAAGAAATACTGGTTATTATATGTGTCTGCCTATTTGTCCACATCTTTCCTTCCTATCTGTCCATATCTTTTCTCCCTTTTCCTGCTATAAGTCAGTCTCTTATCAGGAAAGGAAAATAATAACAAAGTTGTTTTGAGATTGTAGCAAAATGATTTTTTTTTTTCCTTTTACACTCGTGCTTGGTTTGTGGAGTAATTATAGATTTATGAAATAGTGGATGCTGCCAGCTGATGACCTTTTATTTTGAATCTCTTTCAGTTTTGTTAGCCCTGAAGACTGGATATATTTCTCAAACATAAATGTTGAAAAGGCTGACAAGCAGAGAAACAATTCAGTGGCACTAAGGGTGCTGATTGACAGCATCCTCTCCCAGGCAGTGAATGACATGTGCAAGCAATATGAGATGGTGAATATCGCATTTAGAAATAGAGTGGAGGAAGTCAGAGATGCCAAGCACAAGCTGGAGACACTCCTCGCAGTGGTAAGTTGTAGGAGATCATCAGTGAAAAGATGTAAACAGCAAGCTTTGGTTATCAACCAGTTGGCTCAGTCCAGTGTACTGAGGTGTCTTGAGCTACTGTGGTTAAGAATTTTACCTTTGCAATACTGGCAACAGCTGCAACACAAGCTTGCCTCAGTTTCCTTTAACAGTCATCTTAGATTTCATTTACTTATCCAGATGTGCACTGCTATAAAGGTGTATTCCTCAAATCAGTCGATTGATTGAAGTATTCTAGTAGATTTCACTGAAGCCAGGATTTCCCTTGTGATTTTTAGATACATGGGGCTGCTAAGGGTTTTTTGCGATTGTGCTGTAAGAGCTTAATGGCTTATAAAATCAGGGCCAGAGTGATTGAAGTTCAGCGTATGAAAACTGTGCTTGAGTTCTAAACGTTAACCACTGAACTCAGTGATGTTGGCGCCTCTCCAGTCATAATCCTGGACAACCTTTGTGAAAATCTGTTGATAAAATAACACCTTAACAGAATGAGTGTTACTGTAATTACTGTTACTACAGCTATTAAACAAGATGTTGAGGATTTTGCTGATTGTAGGAGAAAGTGTGCTGTGCTTTCTTCTGTCGGATTTGTTAAGGTGATGAAGGAGGCTGCCTCGCAGGAGATGAACATTGTAGCCTTAAAGAAAGCAATTGCTGATAAAGAAGGACCTGTTAAAGTGGCTCAAACCCGCTTGGAGGCAAGAAACCATCGCCCTGGAGTGGAATTATGTTATGACACAGTGCAATATAGGCTGACCGGTGAAATTCAAGAGATTACAAACAACATTCAAAGGCAAGTGGGAATGACGAAAGAGTGGGGAAATCTGTGGTACAGATTATTTGGTTAAATAAATAGTCCAAGTAACATTGGGTTCCAGCTATTCTCCATGAAATTTTGAGACATGCTTTCTCCTTAAGGGTAGCACACTTTAAAGCACACTGCATGGATATTGTCTGATTGTGAATCCCCGTCCTTGTTTTTTCACTTCGAATTACTTTTGCATATGACAAAATATCGATGTACTCTCAACTAACTTCTGGCTGTATTTTCCCTGTTAGGTTAAAGGACACACTGGCACTGGCTGAAACAGAGCTGAAAGGTCTGAGACGTCGGCAGCTTTCCCTGGAGGAGGAGATCCAGATCAAGGCAGATACATTATACATTGATGAAGTGCTCTGCAAGCCAATGAGAGAGTCTGTTTGCATTAACAACTTTTAAAGCCACATTACTGGACAGTTCATGCTGAGATTTTGACAAACTCCAAATTTATTGATTTGAATTAATGCTGTCCTCATTCTAGATGTGTGAGGCAATTAAAACAGACAGTACTTACAGCTAGGACTGTGCTCTTGAATGTCTGATGAAATCCCCCACTGGGCAGTAAAGTTCCAGAATAAGAGGGAATGTGGCAACGTGCTTTCCATGTTATCTCAGGTACAAGCAATGACATCTTTTGCCACTGAGAGGTGTAGAAGTTGTGGAAGCTAGAGCAGTTCTCTCACAAGACACTGGTAAGCTGGTCCAGTGGGAGTGCTGACTGCCAGGATTAGCTGCGGTATGGTTTTTTCTTCTTAACATCTGCTGTTAAGAACTGGGCAGAGAGTGTGTTATGAAACTCAACAGAACTAGGGAGTGATGATGCGGTGGAATGGAGTACCTGACTGCATCTGAATCGAGACGAAGCCAAGGCTGATTTTGGGCTAATCGTTTCCTTACTCCATGTCTCAGTTTTCCTATTTGTAAAATGGGAACAAACAGACGGCCTCACTGGTAAGCTGTTTGAAACTCTACAAGGGGAAGTGCTGAATGAAGAGGGTCTTATTCTTACTAGAGGTGCCAACGAGGGCTGAGGAAAAAGCTCACTGCTGCTTCTGGTTCTGGTGAGGGAAAACAAAAGAACGGCAAGAATAAGTGATACTGGAGATATAAGAGGCTGGTTGCCAAGTCCAACACTTTAATCCAGGGCATAGTAAAATTGTCCTTTGCATACGATGGTATCTCCCTTTCAGAGGGATGCTGACAAGATTCAGTTCTCCTATTAATGCCCTCCAAAGGATTTGTTCATCATTTGCAGGTGTAACTCCTTGTGGCTTTACTCCAGTGGATAGGTGATGACAAAATAGTTAAGCTCTGAGTCAATCAGATTTTTAAACTTCTTGTAAATATTGTGCAACAGCTGCTTCTCTTCACTGGTCTCCTGTCGGGATGTGTAAATCCTGACCTGTGAGCATGAATGGTGGTCATGTCTCTCAGATACGTGCAGCAGTCTCAGCCCATTAAAGCTTGTGGCAAAAGTAAGCCTTTGTTGCTACTGAAGAATATGGAGAAGCCAAATTCTTAGAATAAAATCCTAAAATTTACGTACAGTTTTCACTCTGAACTGAGTGAAAATTACGACTCATCTTCTGCCAAAGAATTTTTGGGAAGAGGAAAGTTCCTTTTACCCTCAAGATTGACACATTCTTGGAATACGCATGGCTCTGGATCTAATACATTTACAATTCAGCAAGCAAAATAGTATGACAGTATGGTTTACACCAGCTGCATTTGTGGAGTGGCCACATACAGTACAACATCCCTTTTTGGTGAGATGTGTTTATAGCTTTTGTTTAATGAGATTCAACTGTCATGCTTCAATTTAAGCATAGATATGAGTACGAGGACTGAGTGGAACAGACAATCCCTAGCTTAATATAGGAGGTGACAGAGGGAACCCATGGACTAGCACAGATTTGCGGAATGGTTGGTGCTGGTTATTAAACTTACATAGTATTCTGTAATATTCCTACTTATGGATTAGTAGGTTGGAAAGAGTGGTTCTCAGGTAGTAGTAGGTTTCTAAGTGGTTCTCAGGATTCTTAAAATGCTAAAACATTATATAGGGAAGGTAGTTATGCTAACATTTCCTTCTCCAACCTTACTGCGGGATTATAGGGACCTCAGCATTTCTCTGGATATGGAAGAGAGGAAGGTAGGTAATGGGAGTTTTGAAGCATCGAGTCTTACCTTTATTGTAGTCAAAAAGCATTTCCTTTCTGCACGATTCTGCAGCAACCTCTCCACAAAAGTAACACTAAGAAATGCCCAGACTTTCAGAAAAAACAATCTCCTGCATGATAAGATAAGCTGTAGCAGCTCATCATCCAGCAGCTCATTGTCATTGTTTACTTCAAGGGTTAATTTCTTCAAAAAGAAAGAACGCAGTCAGTTCTGTGAAACAAGGCTTGCACTAGCTAAACTTCAAAGTGTTTCCCAATTTTACCAACAGAAGTGACTGACAGCAGATCAGCTGTGTACCTTGACACGAGCAGAGAACCTTTTTTTTGTTACGACAAGAATATATGCAGTGGTAATTTCCATTCTCCCGTAACGATGAGCTTCCCATGTACGTTATGTACCGTCCTAAGAGACAGACAACTTCCAGTGGGTGCAATGCCCACAACTCATGCCATGGTACTATTTTGCATACCAGAAGTAATTCAAGATTAAAAGTACATCAAAAAACAATTTCTAGAAAGCTTTACTGATCTGTGGTGTCTATTGCAAACTCTGCAATGCATTAGGCCTTAGAGAAATCTGTCAGTAACCATCAGTTATAAGGCCACGTGCTTCTCAGGCACACACAAACTTGATGCTCATTTATATGGGTCAGGTGTTGAATACCTTTCATGATACATCCTTGGTGATACCAAAATGCTTTGACTGAAAAGCTTTCCTACAAAAATAACGCTTTCCTGCCTGAAGGTTCCTTTTGCTCACAGCTGGCTTTACAACCACCAGTATTTTTTGAGTGTTTTAGCATCTTGTGTTAAACACTTTCATCATGCTAAAACGTGCTTGGCAACCTGACGTAAGTGACATTTGTGAAGAACAGCATAACGGACATTGTGACAAGAACGATCACTTGAAAGGGACTGTACAGCTGGTACACTGGAATGGCTAACTCCTAGGGTTATGCAGAATGCCTACACCATTACTTTGCTTAGCTTTGTGCAGCGAGTTGTCACGACTGCTTGCCTTACCTGCAGCGCATGCCAGTAGGCTGGGAGGATGTTGGTGAGAGTAGGTCTCATCATCCAGTCCGGGTTTCTGAAATAGCAGCTCCGTAAACTGATGCTCCTAACTGGTATCTCCACTAGCAGGATCCTGGCTAGATGGTCATGTTTCATGACTCTTTCAAAGTAGAAGTTCACATTCAATTTTGAGGCTCTTTTGGCCAAGTTGGCCCATGACATTCCCTGGACCACTTGCCCATGGGGGTCATGGATATGACATTTGATATTCAAGGTGCACAGGGAATGAGCACTGTTCTTACAGAGATTGTCCAGCAGTTCATCAGAAACACAGTTATAATTGAAAGTCAGGATAACCAGGCTGTGGAACTTGGACACAGTATGGTGGAACAAGGTGCTGCTGTAGACAGGAAGATGGAGACTGAAGAAATCCTCAATGTTTATTTCGGATATAAAGCTTTTATTAGTCAGGTAGCTCAGAGAATTCAGAAGCTCACAGCCTTCTTCCAAGGTTACTCTTGCTCCTTTTAAGTTGAGATAATTAAGCTGTTTGCTCATTCTTTTCAGAAAGGTACCTAAGTTCTTGATAAACTGAGCCCTGACTATGTTTTTCCAGACCAAGCGATCTAATTCCAGGTGCTTGATGCTCAAGGATACCAGGCGACAGTTACATTTACCCAACTGTGAGAAAAGGCTCCTCATAGACACTTGAAATTTTCGGGTAAAGACAGTACTGTTAGGATGCAATAGCTTGATTTTGAGGTGTTCCAAATACTTGCCAAATTTCTTGACGTACCATAGTGCAGTTTCATATTCAAATGCATGTGCCCTTGATGGTTGGCCATTGAATGTGATGGTTCTGGTTCTCCAGAGGGATCCTGAGTACATGGCTTGATTCCATTTTTTACAGACCAATGCAGCTTGAGATCTGTCCTTGTCATCTAACCAATAGAAGACATGTCTCAGACAGACATCAGGTAGATTAGCCCAGGAGCTCTGCTTAAGGTCACTGTCATCCTCCATTGAGGAAACACTTCTTGACAACTCTTCTGAGTGCAGAACAAAACCTAGATGAATCAGTTTGCTAGATGAATGGCTTGTAATCCCCACAGGATGTGCCTTTAAAGCAAATAGCTAAAAGTTGCCTTTTTTACATCCAGTAGCGATAGTCCTTTTTTTGCCTCTGTACTCAAGTTGTCAGGATCCAAGTTCTTACGTCTAAACTGTGGTCTAACCTAAATCAAAAGAGAAAAACAAACAATGAATGAAAAACAACCACAGTAAGATAAGAGCACAGGACATCATTGAACATTTTGGCTTTTAGTCTGGCTAAACAAGGAAACGGTATAATAGAGCAGTTGTTGCAATTGATAACGGCCTGGGGCCTTGTGTGGGAACTGCTGAATCACGGCCTGAACCTCTGATTGACCACCTGAGGCGAGCACAGTCAGCCCTGGGAGCACAGCTGAAGGCAATTCACCTGTGCTGCTGGAAGGGGTGGAGCCTGGCTGCACCTCTCCTAAACCCATTGAAGAGCTGGCTGCCGGGGGAAAGGATCTCTTGTGGAGATCCCTCCTTTGGAGTTTTACAGCCCGGGACACAGGTAAGCACTCTATCTGTTTTCTTTTGGTGTAATAACCTGCTTAGTCAAAGTCTCTGATATATTTCATAATTATAACATCTGTATATTCATTGATTATAAAGGCCTGATACCTAGCGTTCCGGGCTATACAGAGATGAACAGTGATCTGTGCAGAAGCAATGCAAATGACCATTCTTAGATCTTCAGAGTATTTGTCAAGAAAACCTGAGGTAGTACCCTGCTGTAGATGGAGGTACAATCCCTGTTGAGAGTAACGAGCACTGTAAGCTGTTCTGTCGCTTTGCAAGATGTTCAGCCGTTTTCCTCCAGTGGATAGGAAGGAGAGTGAACAGGAGATGGGGTGTAACAGTAAAACACAGAAGAAAGTAACCACATTGCAAGAAATTACCAGTTCAACTCTCAAGGCTAGGCTCTTAGTATGCAGCTGCCTGAGCACCTTTCCAGATTTGATGGTTTCCCACCTGTGTTCATGATTTACTTTCTGTACCTCCTCCTGCCCCTTCCTCTCCCAAGTTCAGTCATTGCTATGAAACCAAGAGGTATTCTTTGTGATGTCACAACTGAATTTATGCTAGGGCAAACAAAACTGACTTGAACCGAGTTAACTGGGCTGAGGTGAAGACACTGGAAAAGAAAGATTTGCTTGGTCATCTCAGGAACAGAGAAATACAAGCCATAATCTACAGACATAGGTGGAAGCTATATGTTTGTTATTAGCACTTTTCACCACCTGGATAAATTGGATCAAGCAACTGACCAGTAAAGATCCAAATAGGGAAACAATGCATTCCTATTTCTTCACTTATGATCTGCAAACTTTAGCTGTGAAATGCAAATTACCTTCCACGTATCTGCTAGATGCTTGCTTTCATAAGATCCTTTATACAGATCAGGGTATCAGTTGTCTCTGCCAACAGCCACACACGGGGAAAACTTGTACTTTGTTAGTACTTCTGCAGTGAGGCAAAAACGCAAAATGCAGGTGCTTCCTATCTCTACAGTGCGCATATTACCTTGTGCACTGGGCAAACCACTGCTTAGCTCTTGAGAATTAAAAACAAACAAACAAAAAAAAAAAACAACCAAACAAACAAAAAACCAAAACCACAACAGCTGGGGATACTGATCTATATGATCTAGTCCAAAATCAAGGCTTAGTTGCTAGCATGACCGAAAGACAAAACAACTAAAAATCAGGTGATGCCAGTCTTTAAACAGTCTCTTTCCTCCTCTGTATGAGAAATTTCCTTGTTGTAGTGGAAATGCTAAGTCAAGTTTGTAGAACACTGAAGCAGCGATGGAGCAGCTGGTGTGAAGGCAAGGCTAGCCCAGGGCAGCTCAGCTGCATGCCATGTGCCTGAGTGACTAGAAGGGCTGGAGCCGGCATTCCACCCCTTCTCAGACTTCATTTAAGGGTTGGCAGTGGAGGTGAGGGTATCTTGCTGGAGATCCCTGCCCACCTGAGGCCCTCCAAACGTATGCAGCTTTTTACCTTTGTTCCAGTAATAGCTGCATTTCATTAACAGGCCTATAAGGTCAGGCTGGCTGCCCAAATCAACTTTGCCTTGCTGCCTCCCTTTTGGACTGGGACTGTTCTGTCATACGTTATTTCTGCATTAGAAATTAGAAACCACCCTCCGTTCTGTTAGCACCGTGTCTATTCCTAGTTTCTTTCCCTCTCGGTACAAAAATTCTAGCTGTCAGCAATGATCCTTAAATAAGTCATGGGGCTGTAATTACTGCCTCGCTTTCATTGTTATTTAGGACTCACAACACTCCTCACCCCACAAAGAGTTTTGTTTTTAGCATTTTTTTAATTACCTTGAAACCTTTCCTACACGAATGCAGGTTGGGGGCAAGGGGATGTGCAGTGGCACATAGTTAAGATCTGTTGTGCCTCTTCCTATCTGGAATCCTTAAAGTGAATTGGCAGGGGAAAAAAAAAAAAGCATATATGACTGTAATATATAGAAATACATTTCTATTAATAAGGAATTATTTACTGAGATGCATTTGCTCCTATGGTAGCACATGAATGCAAAAGGGTATAAATGCCATCGTGTGGAACTTACAAAACAACAAAAGCAAAAAAACCCAACAACAACAAAAAAAGTAGTGCTTTAGAAGTCATGGGAAGTATGATGACAAATCAGTGGTGGGACTCACAAAGCACTGTCAGTTGGCAGACAGCTCTAGGATAAGGGCAAACTGTGTGTGTGTAGCAGTCAGCTGCTGAGCTTGAAGGGAGAAAAACATTCTGGGGTGGAAAGAGGGCACAGAAGCTGCCAAGAGCACTTCTTCAGGTTAAGTACTCACCAAGAGCGATTTTTCAGGTAAAAGTGTTTTTACTAACGCTCTTTATAAACGCTCTACACACAATCATATCTTTGTTAAGATGAAAAAAGACCTCAAATACCATAAAGCACAGCCCCCCCTTCCCACTAACCCCATCTCTTGGTGCCACATCTCCACAGTTCTGGAATGCCTCCAAAGACGATGACTCCACCACTTCCCACGAAGGCTGTTTCAACACCTGGCCACTCTTTCTGAGAAGACATTTCTCTTAATATCCCAGCTGTCTTGTTTTCTTTTAGGGTAGGATTGTAAGGAATGCAGACCACTTTCTCAGCACTTTGGTTTTTTTATCTGCCTGATTTGCTGAAGGACAGTCCGAATGGTTTCTGGTCCAGCACTGTGCCATCTATCTACATCTCTATCTCCTCCAGCTGCACAAGACAGTGGGTGGTGTCATCTGAAGTCTGGAATCATCAATGTATCAGCGGAAAGCAGTAATTAAAAAGCTTTCCTAGGCCTCTGGCACCGAATGGGTTATCAGAAACAAGAATTATGTGGCCACCGACCACTGCACAGCACCTGCAGCTTCGTTGCAGAGATGCTCCGGTTGCTTGCCGGGACGTATCATCGCTTATGCCCTTTTCACATCATCCTCCGTTCCCGCATCTCCCCGCGCTCGTCGCGGCAGGCGCCACCGCCGCGCAGCACCGCCCCGACCCCACCGGGCGCGGTCACCTCACAGCCTAACGGCCGCTGCGCGAGCGAGAGGCGGCAGCCAATGGGGAAAGCGGGAAGCGCCGCCGCCAATCAGAGAGCAGGCGGGGCTGGATTTGAACGCGGCGGCCGAGACGGTTGTCGGCCGGCAGCAGTCTGTCCCCTCTCGGTCTCCTGCCTGCGTAAGTACAAACCCAACGCAAGCGATGGGCAGCGCTGTCCGGTTGCGGCCCGTGCTTCCTGCCGTAAGAGGAGACTCTGTCTCCTCCGGTCTTAGTATCTATCGCCTTTACTACCCTTTTGTTGCGGTTTCAGCCGTGCGGTGCGGAAGCTCGCGGGGCGGGAGTGGCTCTGCGGGTGCGGCCACGGCTGAGAGCGACCAGCGGGGATAAACAGCGCTTGACAGCAGCGATTAACCAACAGCAGACGTCATCTTATCACAAAGAAGCGGGGTCAGGGCGTTGGACTCGATGGTCTCTGGAGGTCCCTTCCAACCCCTACAGTTCTGTGATGTCTCGGTGCTCTCGCCGTATTGATGTGTCTCGGGTAGTTGGTTAACTTCTCAATTACAAGCCTTTCCTTGCTGCTACGTGCAAAAATGCACTGAAGGCATTAATACCATGGACGTTTTTTGATTTAGAAGATTTCATTAGAAGATTTCTTGCATTTTGAGATAAATTAGAACACTTCTGAGAGGTGGGGTCTATTTAAGAAATGAAATTTAATAAGGGATATATGGAGGGTTTTGTAATATGTAACGATGGCAGAAGTCTCCTGGGTTTTTTTTTTGTTTGTTTGTTTTTTGTTTTTATCCACTGTATGTCTAATTCATAATTAATTATTGGTAAAATTTACTCTTAATTCAGGTTGCTAAAATACATTTGCATTTCAGTTGCTTTTCAGAAGTAATAGCAGTATATTTTGCAAATGAGCTAGTGAAAATTAAGAATTCAGAATACATTCTTAACACTTTCATAGATTGTTATAAGCAATGGGCATTTTAGCCCTTCTCGCTTTTCTTTTGTCACTAGCAGGCATGTCCACTTTTGGACTTGTCTATGTACAGTTATAACAGTGACTAAAGTGTAAGCTTTCAGGCAGGAGCAAACTTGCCTGGGAGTAGAAAGGTGATTTAATGAAGCCACAAATTTTATGTTAGACCGTGGTTTAACTTGCAGTTAAAGTCTATTCTACTTTACAAGATTGAGTTTCACAGTTTACCAGGACTCATGTCCTGAAAACCAAACAAATAAGACTTGCTCACAGATATACATAAATAGCTGTAAAAATTCATGTTTTCTTCCCTTCAAGCTCAGAAGTAAAATGCTTGCTTGGCTCTACTTTTGTTGTTTTAGGTAAACGTAGCTAAACATATTATAGAACAGTTCCATTTCTCCTTTTCCACACTGGTGCACCTTGCTCTAATTTCTCTTATTCTCATTATTTTAAAAATAAGGTTGATGAAGAACAGGAACAAGATGGCATCTATGCTTCAAAATGTCAGGGCAACAATGGACTGGCAGAGACACCTGCTTTTAGCTGACTTTGAGAATGAGAGCCCTGTACCAGACAAATACAAGAGGAAAACTTCTCTCAGTTCTCTTAATACTATCGGCATGTCTCTAAGAAAGCGAATACCGTTAAAGCAAGTAGAGCTGAATTTCCATGAGACACCACTTTGGGAAAACATGGAAGCAAGAAAGAAAAGCCAAGTGCTCCAAAGTATTACAAAAACAGCAAGAAATGCTTTTGGAACAGTGTCACAGGTACTTGTCTCTGCAGCAACATGTAGGTAATGTCTTTTTGCTTCAATTTCAGTAGTAAGATTGTTGGGCTTTCATGTCCTCCTTAGATTTATCCTCTGTACTGCACAACGTAGTGGTTGGCTCTAGAACACAAAAGCTATTGGAGGGTGTCCAAAGGAAGGCTATAAGGATGGTGAAGGGTCTAGAAAGGAAGACATGTGAGGTCACTGAAGTTTGTTCAGCATAGAGGAGGGGAGGCCTCATGGCAGCCTACAGCTCCCTCACCAAAGAGCAGAGGGTCTCTGCTGAGTTCTGCTCTCTGATGACAGGACCTGAAGGAACGTCATGGAGCTGCATTGCGGATGGTCAAGTGGGGACTGGGGAAAGATTCTGCACCAGAGGGTGATGGGAATGGAAGAGGATCCCCAGGGAGTGGTCTCAGCCCCTTACTGCTGGAGCTCAAGAAGCGTTTGCACAGTGCTCTCAGACACAGGATTTCAGTTTTGGGTGGCCCTGTTTGTAGACAGGGGTTTGACCTGACTATCCTTATGGGTCCCTCTCAGCTCAGGATAGCTTATAAGTATGTGAACTAGTTGATTTTTATTATCCCTGCTAGGTAACTCTTGCCTTTTTATTATCTGGATAAATTACGGCTATGACAGAACAAGAAAGAAAGTGAAAAGTAGGAATATGGGAAGTAGTTCAAGCAAAACCTTTTCCCTTACTGCATTTCATAATGTAGGACAGAGCAGCCCACACAAGGAAGAATGTGGGTAGGCTGCCACTGCATGCAAATAATTGTTTCTGAGAAAGGTGTAGCTTTATATATTATATGTATTTAATCATTCTTGTACCCGCACTGTTTATTAGGATGTTCTTCCAAATTGTCAACACAATTTGGACTCATAAAATTCAGTTGGTAGTATGTTAGCAAAGTTTGAAGTTTGTGTTGTTCTAACCGTTGGCGGCAGACTTTAAGTTAATCAGCATATATTAAGGAGCCTGGCTCTTTCTTGCACAAAATCAGCAGGTGCTTTTCTTCTAAAGCATACAGAAATCCTTGGCAAGTTTCAAGGATTCGGGGAGCAAATGATTCAATCCAAATGGGCACACAAAAAAAGCATTCATGCTAGACTAAACCTAATGTGAGAAAGAGAGCTAGGGATTCGGTTCAGAGAGGCTTCCTCATCTTTCTGGTTCCAAACAATAGACTGATGGACTCATTTAGCTTAATATGTCTGTCTAATGCGTATTTCAGAAAATACGGAAGACTTGCCAAAGGCCAATACATTCAACTGTGACCTTTCCAGCTGAAGACGCCGGCAGCAGCTCCGCAACCAGTTTTTCCAAGAAAAGAAGAACAGTACAAACACCTTGCCTTACTATAAACAGTGTTACTTCAGCAGCTAGTTCTACGTGCACTCCAAGGTCCAGCAGAAGATGCTTGCTTTGGCCAACAAGGTTGTCAGAACATACAAAATTGACGGGTTTCCCATCTTGGCGTGGTGAAGATGCTGTCCCACTCGAGATCAAGGAGAGCATCAACAGCACTGAAGAGCCTCTGTTCATCACCTACTCCTGCCAGCAGAAGAATGTAAGCTGCATTCTTTTGTAAACCTTATTGTTCTTTTTTTAGTTATTGTTGCTATGACTAAAGTCTTTCTTAAGATTAAAGGCAAGATGAAAGTTGTTAACCTATTCCACTGAGACAACATACTACTAGAAGATTTAAATTATTATTTACATGTCCCACAGTCAGAAATAGACTGTGACAAACAGCATCCGATTCAAAATCACAGAAGAAATCATAGAATGGCACAGGTGATCTTAAAGATCATTTAATTCCAAGCCCCTGCGCTGTGGGCAGGGTTGCCACGCGCTTTATCAGACTGCCCAGTGCCCCATATAACCTGGCCTTGCGCCCCTGTAGGGGGTGGGGTATCCACAACTACTCCAGACAACCTGTTCCAGTGCCTCATCACCTTTTGAGTAAAAAATTTCCTACTAAGAGAGGGAACACTTAGATTAAAACCATTCCCCCTTCTTTTATCACTGTCTGCCCATGTAAAAAGCCTGCCTCCCTCCTGTCTTTAAGCTTCCCTGAAATACTCCAGTACTGAAATGAGGTGTCCTCAGAGCCTCCACATCTCCAGACTGAACAAGCCCAGATCCTTCGCTTTTCTTCATTGGTGAGGTGCTTTAGCCCTCTGAGTATCTTTGTGGCCTCCTCTGGACCTGTTCCAACAAGTCAACATACTTTTTGTGTTGAGGGCTCCAAGCCAGGATGCTGTACTCCAGCTGGGGTCTTACAAGGGCAGTGTAGAGGGGAGCAATCACCTCCCTTGCCCTCCTGGCCATCCCTCTTTTGATGCTCCCTAGGAAACAGCTGACCTTCTGGGCTGCTAGCGCATGCTGTTGGTTCATGTTGAGCTTTTTACCCATGAAAGTACCAGATTACTTCTCTTCAGGAGTGCTCTCAATGAGTTCTTTTCTCAGTCTATACACATCCCTAATTCAAGTGCAGCACCTTGCATGTAGCTTTATTGAATCCTATGTGGGCTCACATCTCAAAATCATGCGGGCCCTTCTGGGCTCTTCCTTCTGATGTATCAGTTTCATCACTCAATTTCGTGTTATTAGCCAGTTTGCTGAAGGTACACTCAATCCCACAATTCAGATAACTGACAAAAATGTTGACCACTGATACTAAAATGGAATCCTTGGGGTTGCCGCTTGTCACTGACATCCACCTGGATTTAGAGCCAATGACCACAACTCACTGTGACCATCCAACCAATTCCTTATCCACTGAATAGGCTTGGGTATTGTCACCTGTTCAGTCTGTTCATTTTAATCCTTAGTAATGACAATTCTGCCTCCAGAGAGGAGTTTGACGGTGAGTTGGAACTGGTCTCTTCAGGGATTCACCAACTGAAGCATCTCTTCTGGGCCCCTGATAATGATATTGTGTAAGGGGAGATGTAAATACTGTTAAGTATCCTTCATCTCAACTCTCTCATTTGTAAGTGAAGATAATGTCAAACAGGTGAAGTAGTTGTTCAATTACCTTGACTAGACCTGCATGTATCTATGAGAAAATCTGCTGTTTGGAGAGCGAAAGATACATTAATTCTAACTTATTTAAAACTTCAGTGTGTGGAACCAAAAGGTTCTTCCCTCATATTCAGTGTGGCTTCTATAGCACATTGTTGCACAGTTATGAAGCTTAAGCTTTATACTGAGGATTAGTTAAATTTTGTGACTTTGCAATGAGCCATAAGTTAGGCTTCTATGTAAACAATTCTTCTCATCCCATATGAGACAATGACTGGTACTACTGTCTTTGTCACGTGACCTTAGCTCTTACTGATCACTAAAATTATGAAGCACAGCAGAAAAAACTATTGCCCCAAACAGTCTAATTTTAGTCTTTTTATCTCTAGCATTGTCTTGGCAGTTAATACAATGACAAAAACTGTAGTTGATGCATGCATCGTTAGCATTTTTAAACACAGTAATTGTACTTCAGTGAATGGGGAGCAGTAGTTCTTTGTTCTGTGTTTCTGAACATCACTTTTAGTGTCAACTTATTGAACCATTACTAGGTTTGCTATGAGAATGTTACAAAGGCCTCACCTACCTTCTCTGTGATCTGCACTGTGATGTTAACACAATGTCCAATACTAAAAGGAGGTTATAATCAGGAGGGAGAAAGACTTCTAACATGGTCTGATAGTGACAGGACAAGGGGGGAACAATTTTAAACTACAAGGGGAGAGGTTCAGATATTTGGGGGAAGTTTTCACACAGAAGGTGATGAGACATTGGAACAGGTTGCCCAGAAAAGGTGTGGATGTTCCACAAGGTATAAAAGGCCAGGTTGGGTGGAACTCTGGGCAACCTAATCTAGTGCCTGATTTTGTAGCTGGCAACCCTGCCATGGTGTGGGAGTTGGAACTGCATTGTCTTTGAGGTCTCTTTCGGCCCAAGCCATTATATGATTAATACCATCATCTATTAGCAGTTGAAGTATTCCTTTTGTTTAAAGGGGAAACTATACTGTGTGTAACAGTTAATATTCTTGTAACAAGTTGTAGGAACATCATTTCTGTAACAGTTAAAAAAAAAAAAAGAAGCTCTCCCCTACCTGTGCTGGATTGAAGCTTTAAACAGTGATGTGTGCTGCTTTCACTGAGCAACTCATTCCAGTTCTCCTGCATAGACAGATGCATACAGTGCGCTGTCACTGGCTGGTTTGTAGGTTCTGCATTTGGAATACCTGTAGAATAAATGTTGCTTTCTGTTCTGGTGTATAATTTGCAAGAATTTTAGCATCGTAGCTCCCGCTTACCTTTACCGTGATGAATCAAGATTTGATCTCGAACTGTCAACGGTTGCTATCTCCATGCATTCAAATGTATCTGTTTTAAATAATTAGTTTATATTGCAAAAAATGCTCCTGTTGGTAGTCAAAATGTTGCCATACTTAATCACTATACTGCTGTTTATGCTCAATGAAGGTTTCAGAAAAGCTTTCTTGTTTCTTTTTACAAGTTTTAAGTGAAATACACAGGTCCCATTAACCGACTTTTCCAGCAATGCATGTGAACAACCAATCATATAACCTTGATGACTTCATGCTGCTAATAGCAGTCTTGTTCTTCTGCAGGCACCATGCAATATCAAACTACTGCTATTCTAATGGCATGAAGTTTGCAGCCTGTGCATCAATCTTGGGAACTTCCTCAGGCTGTCAGAAGGCAAGGAAAGAAACTCCGTTCAGCAACTGGTGCCTGGACAGAGATGGCTGTAAACACCGTTAGTTTATGAATATATATAAAGGAAAACTTCATTTGAGATATGAGACTATACCTTATACTGTGCATAGAACTGTGTGCTTTAAAAAACAATTACATTTTATAATATTTTTGGCAGAGCAGCCTAAAACTACTCTTCCCTTGCTTTTGCTGTTCAAGCCAACTAGAGAAATAAATCTGAACCACAGTGCACTACCTGTCTTCTGCTGAGACAACGGACTGTCTTCAATGGGGCTGTCACAACTGTCATAAAGCACTAAGTAGGAATGGTCAAAGCAAGGGCAGAGATCTACAAATGATGATCATAGGAAAGAGTAATATTCAGATCCTCCTATGTATTATGAAAGCACTGATCTGTTATTTTCAAAGCTTAACAATTTATCTTATTTTTTCTAATACTAACAAATCAAAAGCTAACTTTACATGTTAAAAAATGTTTTAAAGTTTAAAATGTTAACTATAATGCTTAAATGATTGCTACTTGAGTTTTGACCGCAACTGCCATTCCAAGTCAGCAGGTTTCTGTACTCATTTCCAAGTCACAGCAGTGGAGCCATGTTAGGACTCCAACTCACAGCCCAAGGATTGCTGTTAAGTAAGTGAGCCCAAGTAGTTCTACCCTAAATCATAGCAACTTAGTTTTTTGCTCCTATTTTAAATACCATAATGGCAGCAGAGTTAAACGTTGCTTTTGTACAACACCATCTGTCATTTAGTTATATGCAGAAATTGCTTATCAGTTAATATACATAAGTTGCTCTGAAAGTAATGCCTTATATTTATTTCCATAAATATTCAGCAAGTGCTGATGAATGTCAGTGGGTGCCATTTTTTTCCCACGCAGAGGAATTCAGTTCCTCACCTTTGCTTCATACAGATCCTATTTTGTCAGACTGCCACTCTCTGTTGCATGACAAGAAAATGTAACAGAATAATTGTTTTAAATCACTAAGAAGATTCAACCTGTATTGCCATGCTACCAACATATGTTTCTGATGTTGCAGGCCAACATCATGAAGTGAGAGGCATTCATTTTGGAGCAACGCTCTTATTATAACTACTGTTATTTGCTGATACAAGGCAGGCATTCTGTTCAGTGAAGTACACTAGGCATTTGACACATGTCTTTCAAACTTAAGCAAAGATTTCTTAAGCTTCTAGAATTCAACGGCTATTTCCACAGTAGCAGTTCTGTGCAAGTTTTGGCATTTACTTTCTACTCTAAGCTGAACCTTCAAACAAAAGACAGATTCAGAGACCTTTTCTGTACAGTGACTTTTAAGATGCACATGCAATTTGGTAAAACTGGAACCGCTAGAATGTTAACGATATTAAGTATAAATGTAGGAAACAGTCGTGTTCGATTCTGATTAAAGTACTGATTTTTAAACTTGTTTCTGATTTCCTTTTTACCTGTTAAACCAATTTATTAAATAATGAAATAATTAGCAAGCTCTGGAAGCACGAAGACAACCCAGCCTTCAGACGACTGGTGAGAATGTTATTTTTCTTTTTCTTTTTTTCTTTAAACAAACTGAACCAACTTAACCAAAAACCCACTGCCTTTGTATATGGAACAGTAGTTTAAGTTACTTTGTATGTACTGAGACTGCTTCTATAACATTTTATAAAAAAGGATGGTGTCTCATTGTTGCAGTATCTTCTCATACTACTTTTGAAAAAGGAGGAGGGTTGGAGTTCACAGGTTGACTTCTGTTCACAAATCGAAGTTTTACGCCAGATGGTCACCCACATTAAACAGCTTGTATCCTGTTTCTACTTGTTACTGCAACATGCAAACGATGATCTAAGACTTCCAATACCATCGATAAGAAGAGTCTGGAACACTGCTTGCTTAAAGGCAAGGAAGGTTTTATTTAAGTGATTAATATAAGATTTTAAAAACCATCTCACATCAAAATCTATACGAGTTGTAGAAATCTTACTCCTTATTTCATATTAAGAAATGCATTATTGTACATTTTTGAATCTTTACAAGGCAGCCATAAGAAATATAAACATTTGTTACCAGATAGAACCTTCGCACTGACCAACAACATTTAAAAGTTTACACTCAATAAAACCATAGACTGAAAGAACAATGTACAATTTCAAGTTTACTTACAGGAATTAAGTTCTAAGTGGACTGCCCTTTCCCCAGCAAATAGAAAAATATGTTAGGGAGACAGCTTGGGGTTCTGTGAGAGAACTGCCATTTTGCCTCTACCCAGAGGTCCCAGAGTCGCTAACCCTTAGAGGCTCCAATTTTTAAGGTACACAGTAATCTCTATTAACTCATATCTCAGCAGTAAACCTGTTTCTTTTTCTCTTTCCCCCTCTCTTCCTCCACTTGAGTTCTACACAACCTTATCAATTAATGATCTGCCAAAATTTTTCTCATGCTCCTCTATCCTCTGAACAGTGCTATCCAATTTGAAAGGTAGCTTATTGGGTTAAATAACAATAGAAAAATTTTTATCCCCTTACCTTGGGCTTAATCTGAAAGGAGGGAGAGAGGGAACACAACACCTTACTTTGATTCCAGAGTCCACGGCACAGGATTCTATCTGCTCCAGGACATCTCCTATTTTTGAAGAAAAAGGGCTCTCTTCATCCAGAAAGGTGTGTGATTACCTTTTTTTCTTTTTTTTTATAAAAAAAAGGAATTTAGGATCATAAACAGAAACTTAAAGTTACAACTGAATGATTAAACAGTATTGAAGTCAAATTACCTTGTTAAAATCACAATTCCTACTGAAGCTATGAACACAGATCATAAAGAATCACTGCTCTCACAGAAGCTGAGGAAGAAAGCTGGAAATGTTTGCGCTTAGGGAATTCTACCTTGTACCCAACTCCAGATGTAAATGAGAAGTGCCACTTTCTCCCCTGCATGACTGAAATGAACAGTTCAATGCAGATATCTTGACTTCAGTTTTTGTATTTCAAGCTGAAACCAGAACAAATTATGAAACTGCACCATATAATCTCTTCCTCTTTCCGCTATTAAGCCAACAAGCTTATTAAGAAAGGGTCCACATTGGAATTGTCTAGCACTTTTATAACATACTCACTATCTGTAGCTTACAGGCAAAAGGAGGAAAAATGTGGGAAATCCTATCTGTTCAGTAACAATTACTGCAGCAGTTACAAATTATAAAAGCTGAAAACACCTTTGGTTTTCTGGTATAATTGAGAATGCTTTCAAATGAAGTTTTAACACATTTAGGACAGGAAGCAATATAAAAGGAGGATGAATTTCATTTTTCCCTTCTGAATTTATACTGTGAAATACATGATAATTCTACAGCCTTAACTATTGGGGATTAACTTAAATACACATAGTAACAGTGCTATGATACTGCAATGTGTAAAATACACAACGTGTTCACTAACAAAAGCAAACAGAGGCTATTGTGCAAAATGGTGGAGCTTCAAGATAAATGTCCCTGTTCTTATTTTAATTGTAGATGAAAGTATCGAGTTTATTTCTCCGTGGTTTCCTGATAGCTGCACTTCTACATAATGAGTAAAAAGTTTTAATTTTGTTAAGAAATTATTTCCCTACGTAGTAGAGAAGTGATACGTAAGAATGAAAGGCTATTTTCATCCAAACAAATCAAAAGAGCAATTCTCACGAATCCCTAAGGAATGAGAGGAATGATCAATACCATGTCAATTTTACACTTGACAAAATTTTTATGCAGAATAGATATACGTCATGCCACAAAACTAAATAGGTGTAATTTGTCAAACAAGAACCTGTTCCAAGTGCACTAGCGAATACAAGTACTTTTTTAATTGAATAAACACAGCCATTGTTTAAAAACAAATTACAATTGTGCTGTGAAAGCAGAAACAAAGCATCACTTAAGGTTGCTTTCAGTAGTTACACAAAGATGCCACAGTGTAAATGTGTGTTTTCACAGTATCTCAAATCTTGAGAAGTCTAAAATGGCCACTGATTACAGCTGTTGTTAGTTTTTGTTTAATACAGTAATTTAAAACTGGATATACGTCAACAATTCAAAGAAGTGGCGCTTTCAGGCGTGGCCCACGTTGTACTGACCTGCACTACCACCAGCATCCACTGAAATAACGGCTTGGTGTTTCACAGTTTCACTTCTGCTTCTTCTGTTTGGCAGATCAAGTGTAAGTGCTTCTCTGTAATATACAGCTTCTGTCTGTTTCTCTTCTGTGGAGAGGCTTCAAAACTTCCACAGACTGTAAGGTTAAAGAAAGCACTGACTGTACAGAGAGCGCAGCAGTGAGGAACAGCAGAAAACTGAAAGACTATCAGGTCGTGCTCGACCTCAGTGAATGGCCTGCTCAGGAGGCCTGATTATGCCTCCATGATAACAGAAGTGAAACTGTAATCTCAACAGAAAATGAATGCCTGTGAACAGCCACGGGGTTTTATGTAGACAAAGTATAAAACTAAAGCACTGACTAGAAACAAATGTTCCAGGAGAAAATGGGATTGAAGAAAATATGCTGTAAAAAAGTAGCAATTCATCAGGGATTGTCCCAAACATAACTGGGGAAAAAAAGGCCAAAAAAATCCCAAGTAATTGAAGTCCTTAATCATGTCCACAGAGTACTGAACTGCCAACTTAGCTGTGAGATGCCTAAATCACTACCACCTCTTTCATACTCTCATCTCCACCACAAAATCTGTGTCATTTTAGTGTCAGCTGGCTAGAGCTTTCAAAAGAAATGCATCTCATGTTTGTGAAGATAAGCTCCAAATAAGCATGAAGCCTTAACCTCCAAACTGATGTCTGCATCACCGTTTGTCGAAATGCTCCGATGGAGGCATGCTATCAGGCGATGAACCGTTCTATCCCTGAGCATCAGTAGTGCTGGCATGATGAACTGACCATGTGAGTTCTCATAGGAAACAAAGTTAGGGAAAATATTTCCAGCTGAATTCCAGTACTACGTTTAGAGACTGAATGGTTACCACTCTAAATCAAGCATGAAGAGTAGCACTTCTTTTACTACTATTAGCTCATACTATACTGTATATACATATATAGAACCAACACAGTGGCTAAAAAAAAACTCCAAAACTGTGAGAGTCATCTGACCTTGTGTTCATATGAAGTCTTATAACAACAGTCACAGAATCACATACAGATCTCTCTTTTGAAAAGAAATAGGTCTTTTTATGTTAGCAACTTAAATCAGAAAATGGATTTTGGCATCTCCTGGCTTGTAGAGGTAGGCAGCTAAAGCAGAATTTTGCTAATACTAGTAGGCATAGTGATTACTATGAGGAGACATGCTAGCCAGCACCCAGTGCTTAAGAAAGGAAGTTCAAATTCTGCAGTCAGTGTTGACTTTACGTCCTCTAAGCAAATGTCAAGTCTGCTCTTTGCATTCCTCCACTCTTCAATTCATTCACCTATTTAAAACCAACAACCAAGAGCACGCTCGAAATACTTATGCTCCATTGGGCTTGCTCTGGCAAGAGTCAAAACTGCCAGTCATTAAAACACGAGAAAATAGAATGTTTGTTTTCCCAGGAGGCTGCCAAAACTGCTCTGTAATATCAGCTGCGTATTGGTCAGACACCGGGCTACTGTGGCTATTCTTTTCAGAGGATGTACTCTGGGCATCTTTTTTTTTGTTTGTTTGTTTGTTTGGTTTTTTTTGCTACCTGTTAAAGCAAGATATACTTAACAGAAAAGGAGCACAGATATAAACATCAGATATGCATTTTTGCTACCGGCTTTTTTTCTTTCCTAGATTAGCAGCAGGAAAGAAAACCTCATCAGTACGATAAAGAAGCCTTCCCTGCTCTAACATCATCTCTGGTACCTGTGCAAGCAGTGAACTGACTGGAGGAAGGTGGAGTATGCTCTCTGGTATACCTTGTGCAAGCTCTTCCTAGCTGCAGAGGCTAAGAAAAGAAATGGACACAATCAGAATAAAAACACACAGTGGACCACGATAAACCACTGAAAACTACTTTAAATTTACGTCTTAAACAACTATGAAACTAGTGGGAAAACTGTAAGCCTGAAGACTGCTTCAGTGTAGTTCATTTAGCTTTTGCAGCTGGCTACCTTGTCAGCAGAGATTAAAAACCCCAGCCTCCAGTAACATAAGTTAACCGTGAGCTACTAAAATCTTAACATCCTTCCTAAATTTGCAGCAAAAAATTACCCCTTCCCTTACAGGAAGCATTATGAAAAACTACTGATGTGCCAGAGATCTTTCAGGATGTCTGAAATAGGTAACTCAGAAATTTGCTAAGTGACAAGCTCAAAAAAAACAACAACAGCAATCACCACCATTTATATACTAGTTTGCTGGTCGCCTTTTAAGACAAAAGCCACGAAGCTGTCCTTCAAAAAGCACACTGAAACTTCTGTGTGAACAAGGAGTTATCGGACTTACTTCTGCATTGTCATGGTAGTTTTCCACTGCATTCCTTCTTTGTTTTACATACCAATTTTGAACTCATTATCCAACAGGCTTGTTTCTGTTCCGGCTATATTTTAGGAAAACCTAAAAGGGAGGTTGGGGATGACGACATCCTCCCCCTGGTGCCAAAAAACTGAGGGAGGGAAGTCAAAGAAACCAAATCTAGAAACAGCTCAAGAAATCACCTGTTGACTTCAAGCTTTCTCAGGGTCAACACTCTGATCTTAACTTTAAAAGAAAACTGGTTTTTTGCTCTAGCAATTTCACCACAGGTTTAGAAACATACATTAGTTCTATCACAAAAGTTATATTGGTGAATTTGGCACAGTGGAAATAGATGCATAATGAACTAGAAAACTGCAACTGGATTAAACTAACTACAACATTTAGTTTAGAAATATTATCACTTAGGGAAAATTTCACACATTTTACTTCTAATAAGTAAAAGATCTAAGAGAAACCAGGAGAACACACATTTGGCACCTCCATTCTTTGAAGCTCAACTGTTGCAAGTTTGATTGCTATAGATTGTCTTAGCAGAGCACTTGCTGTCAAGCATGACAAGGTAAATAATTTACTCCATTAGCATTTATTACTCTTTCATCCTGCAGATTAAAGATTTTAGTTAGAATAATGAAAAAAGTGACTACTCTGCAGATTGCAGACCCCTTAGTGAAAAGGCCCCCTTAAGGCGTCTGTCTTAGAATCTGTCTCAGTCTGAAATGGTCAAAGACACCTCCTTACACACAGTTCACACATTTTACACAGTCATCAAGTTTCACAAAAGTCACAGTTTTGTACACTTGCACATCACTTTGCATACAGCAACACTAACTACTTCCAACTGTGGCAGAGATGTTTATTTCTAACATGAAGCATTTACCATTTGGTTCACAGGCAGAGTTCTATTTATTTGATTTCCAGCACCTTATACAGGATGAGTGTCTATATTAGAATCTGTTGACCAACAGCATAAGCTGAAAGGAAATCTTGGACTCAAGGCACCCAAAAATCATCTTGCTGTACAAATCCTGATGACCCATTTTTGTACCCTCACCTCTGCTTCCCTTACAAATATATCGCTTCATCAAAAGTGAATTGGCAACAGATGAAACTATTTAATGTTTTAAGTGTAAACTTTCTCTGTAACCTAAGGGGTCCACTGTTTACATTGTTTTGGGTGCAGCTAGTTAGCTACTACTACAATCCTTTTGCGTAAAAAGCCTGTAGCAGCTTTTTCTCTTATTGCACATTTCATTGTATCTGTTGTAAAAAGTAACTGAAGACTTTTTTTTTCCTGTTGCTTTAATGCTTACGCACTTGGGATAGTTTTAGATTGTTTTAAAATTTCCCAATACGTCACAAAACTGGAAGTTCTCTGGTTGGTGTAAGAAGGCATTTTTCAGAGCAGGGAAGACTCTGAGGTACAGTTTCCCCTCTACACCTCCTAGTTTGAAGCTGCCTAAATACTACCTTTTGAGGCATGATTACAAGTTAAATGAAGGACACCCAAAATCTACAGCCTCAGGCTTCCTAGGGAACAGATTCAAATTTGTGGACTCCACCCCTAACCCAAGCAATGGAAGGCAAATGCCTATCATGATCCTTGTCTGACTCGGGCTGGCTCTGGGCACGCTCTGGTTTGGGGTTGGAAGAAGGAGGATCAGGCTGCTGTACAGACATAGTCCTGCGGAGATGGTTTCTCTTGCGCAAAAATTCAGGTTGAGAGTGGAGGCCAAAGCTGCCTTTTCTCAAGATCATCCGAGAGTTGTTCTTTTTAGGTCGTGAATGAAGACTGAACTCCAGTGAGGCCAAGTGGGCTGCATAACCCTCACTGAGGAACTGAAATATGAAGGAAAGAAAGGGAGTGACAAATTACTGCTGCCTCAACCTATAGACTCTATGAGGAGTTAAGTTTGTATCTTTGGCAGCCTAGTTAGAGATATATGAAAGAATAATATTAGACTCCTCTTGCTCTTATTTTCAATGAATTCTTCAATTTTGTTGTTCAAGAATATGCTATGCATGCACTTGCAGGTACCACTTGTGACCACTCAATTTTCTTTATCATTCACTCTGCCATAAAATGCCTCCTCCGAGACCAAAACTGCTTTTTTTTCCTCTGACATATTCTCTGCTCTTTATTTGGTGAGTCTGTGCACGCATGCGTGTGCACGCACACATTAACACACACGCATCTCCCTGCTACCCTGAAGACTTCCTAGTTAAGTAGCAAGAGTTACTTACTTGACATTGTGCCTGGTATTTCTTTGTCGATCGCCCAACTATGTAGATCTGGGATGGCGACAGAGCTAAGACATTGTAAACGGAAATATCCTTTGTCGAACCATATGCAGCACAGATTTTGATGTGGCACTGAAACAAATATTACTTCCAGAGTGAATACTCTGACTACCGAACAGCATGCATTACAGGAATGGAACTTATTCTGCACTGAAGCAGCAGATAAACTCACTTAACACTTCTGTAAAGCACACACAGCTAAATCTGTCTATCTCAATGACAGCAAAATTATGAATAGGTAGACAGAAAAGAACAAGTAATTTATTTGTAATACCATATGCCAAGAGGTGCATTTGGATGTTTTGTTAGCCATCTTTGCTCTTTGAAAAGTAAGAAAAGACACGAGGAATAGCAAAAATATAACAACAGTAGGATTTACTGTTCCAAAGGAAGAGAGCTTTTACTTCAAACAATGACAATTCCTAGAAAAAGGTTTCAAGGATATCAACGTGTTTCCAGTACGTACCTCTTGCATGAGATTCCTTAGAAAAATAGTCTTTTGTCGCAGTGGGTCATGAACAAGTCCATCAGAGAAGAAGATCATTCCTTGAGGGAAGTTGTGTTGAGATAACCATGAAACCACACGCTGCTTTTGCATATCTGGACGGCCAGTAATATAGATAATCAGATATCCTAGGTCCTGCCAATGTCTGTCACAAGCAACAAATAAATTATATAGGTGAAGAAAAATAAATCAATGCCCACAGGTCACATCAGTATTTCTTTGCCTGGCACAGACCCAGCCATACAAGATCTTTCAACAGGTGTGAATCAACATGCCTAAGCATCTGCACCTATAGAGAAATGATGTAATAAAATCTTCATCTTGGGAGAGATGGAGGAAAGCAAGCAACAGTCCAGTCTCATACAGTATGAGACTTACAAAAAACTTAAAAACTCACAACAAACCCAGGCAACTCTACAGGCTTGGGAGGAGAGGCTGGAAAGCTGCTGGATGAAAAGGGACCTTGGTGTACTGATGGACAGTCAGCTGAATGAGCCAGCAGTATGCAAAGAATGCCAGCAGCATCCTGGCTTGTATGGGGAATGGTGTGGTGAGCAGGACCAGGGCAGTAATCCTGCCCCTGTACTCGGCACTGGTGAGGCCTCACCTCAAGTACTGCGTTCAGTTTTGGGCACCTCTACACAGAAGGGACATGGAGGTGCAAGTCAAACGGAGGGCAACAAGACTGGTGAAGGGCTTGGAGAAAATGGCCTATGAGGAGTGAGAGGAACTGGGGCTGTTTAGTCTGGGGAAGAGGAGGCTGAGGGAGACCTTATTGCTCTCTTCAGATACCTGAAAGACGATTGCAGTGAGAGCAGGGCTGGTCTCTTCTCACCAGTGACAGGTGATAGGATGAGGGGAAATGGCCTCAAGTTGTGACAGGGGAGGTCTAGGTTGGATATCAGGAAAAATTTCTTTACAGAAAGGGTAGATAAGCACTGGAATAGGCTCTCCAGGGAAGTGGTTGAGCCACCATCCTTGAATGGGTTTAAAAACTGTTTGGATGTAGGGCTCAGGGACATGACTTAGTGGTGAGTTGTTAGAGTTAGGGTAGTATGCTTAGGTTGTGATTGGACTTAATGATCTTGACTTTTCCAACCTAAGCAATTCCATGATTCTATGAACTCCAGCTATATCTCAAGTTCTACTACCTTTGAAATTTATAATGAGATTCCCTGTGATTTCAGCTGTAGGAAATGGAAAACTCTTGAGAATTGGCATCCCTCCTTTCCCATGCAAGCTCCAAAACGAGCGCTGTTTTCTTTGCCCACTGCAGCACTGCAAGAATTGCAAGACTGAATTAAGTCTTTTAACTTTTCCTCCAGAAAATGCTCTTGCACTCATGGCACTTTGTCATTCAAGAGCAGAATTCTGCCCTTATTTGAAGCTGGCAAAATATAAAATACACTCTTTGCTAATCACAGTAACAAATGAAATCATTATAAATTCATTATCTCACTTTAACATCATATTCTCCAAAAGCAATCTTTATGCAACTTAACGTACAAATTGTAAAGTAAACCACAGCACTCTAAGATTCCTCTGAAAACCAAGAACAATTGTTGTCAAGGTAAATACATAAACATACCTGCAAAACATTCTACCCGTTAAAGAATTTTTGTATAGTTAGTAAAAAAAATCTGTTCTACCCTCCTCTGTCCTGTTGTGCTCTAACAGAAGAATTAGAAATGTACAAAGCGAAGCATGCAAGCTATCCTCACCTCACAACATCGACAGCCCCAGCTCGGACTTTGGGGTCACTTCCCATTATTGAAACACTTGCTGCAAATGAACCATCAATGCTGAACACAACACATTCCATTCCTCGGGGAAGCACAGTCAGGTAGCTTGTGGCGCTGCTCTGGTCCCCTCTGGAGATTGAAAGCAATAGATCTTTTCTAAAAATGAGAACATTTTCTGCATGTTCTAGTTAAGAACTTGTACTAGATCTGACTGGATCTGCAGCTTCAAAAATCTGTGTTAAACTGGACTTTTCATTTCAGTCCTGTATGGGAAAATTAAAGCCTACACTTTTAGGAAATAACTTTCCAAACAAGAAATTTGGAAGCTGACTTTAATAAGACATCACATTCATACAAATACACGATTTATTTCAAACAAACAACATTGAAGAACTTAAACTTTTAATGTTGTCTATATGTGTATATATATATATATACACACATACAGATAATACACTAATGCTCTGAGTACATACGTGCGTTTTGCACACAAATTAGCTGTATCTTCTTTTCCCGAACAGTCTATAACTACTGGCAAATTATTAGAAATTACAGTGGAAAAACTGATATGCATCGTTTATTGGCACCCACCTGCTTATAAACATCAACTTATCTCTACTAGAATTTTACTAAACAGAAGAATTCTTAAAAGCACAGCTTACCCCACTAGTCCTGCACCTGCGCCAACAAATTTTATTTCACACCTTTTCCCTCTTCATGCTTGACTCACCACAGAGTCGGTTTGTGTTGTTTTTTTTTTTGTTTCTTTGCTTTTTTAAGTGCTGGAGAGCCAGAAGAATTTATCTCAATGAACTGTTACTTTTAAGTGTTGTTTTCTTCCCTCAATTTTAGAATAAATATGGTCTTACAGAATTACAGTATATAATTCTGAAGTATAGAATTAAAATGACTCTTATAATCAGCCTGCCATCAACATATAAATAGCTGGCTGAGAAGAAGGCAGTACATGCTCCACTGTTCATGTCAACAGGAAAAGCTTCTTATTGAAGAACGCATGGCCATACCCATCAGTAATCTTTTCCTCAGTGAAGAAGCTCTGAAATAATCCAAGTCACACACTCTTGCCATAACAAGACTGATTACAGTCATTCAGTCTCCCTAATTTTGCAGGTCCAAATGTCACTAAATTGAGTCATGTTGAGGATTTATGTTGCAGGAGAGATAAAACCCACTGGACTGAACACCTTTAAGCTGGCCAGTAGCACACAGTCGCTGCTTCAAATCTAAGCTGATAATACAGGAAATAGACCAAAGAAAGATAAACAGAACTGTCACTGGAGACTTGAGGTGCAAAGAAATCAAATCATTTGCCTAAGGCCACACAGAAGTCTGCAGTACAATCTAGAACTGGATCTAGAACATCCTGCCTGGATGCCTACTGTGCGACCTGCTGTAGGAACTGCTTTGGTGGGGGGTTGGACTCGATGATCTCTGGAGGTCCCTTCCAACCCCTACAATTCTGTGAACTGACCAAAATCCCCCTCCATGCCCCTTCTATCCTACATATCAATATCTTCCTGATCACAAGAGCCCATAAAAGCTGTAGTATCAGCTTGGAACTGTTACCTGACAATCATTCTGATGGGATATACACCAACTCTCAGTCTCTTCTGTTTGGGTATACTGTAGGATATCCGGCCACTGCTGTTGGATATCTCTGTGTCAAAATAGACCCACCTACCAGAAGATGGTTCAGTCATTATGAAGATATCAACCTGCAAAACCAACACAAAGTCATCTGGTGTGATAGTGGGCAATTTTATTACCACCTTAGGAACATGGCATGCCAAGTCTTCACCATATTATTATCTTAATTCGTGTTTTGTAACCAAAGGTTGCAAGTTTCAAGGAACTTTGAAACTCAGAAACTTCTCAGATGGTCCTCACAACCAGAAAATGCTTCCTAACACACAGCACAAGAGTTCATTATTGTCTTGATCAATTAAAACACTCAGTACTGAAGGTATCAAGAAAACACAGAGCTCAGGAATTCTAAACTTTCAGAACAGGCAAAGTGAAGTCTCCGTGCTTCTGTTTTATTTGCAGCTCAGCAACACTGCTACATTAATTTCCATTAAAAATTCTTAGTCTCACTGAATGAGACCAAATGAGTTCACTCAATATTTATTTGGCTTTGTTATTTTTAAACTCCGCTACTGCAGTCAGCTTTAAGAGCACCGACTGATCCAGCTACGTCACATCACTGAAATTCTAAAACTACTCTTTACTCTTCCATGTATATGAGAAACAGCAGCTACCCAACCTTTAGAATCCCAATTCCTTTATCCATTTCTCTTACCTTGAAAGGTGTATATACACTTTCCTTTCAGTGACTTGCCAACTGCTATGCAACTATTTTTTATCCTTACTCAAGTTAATCATCTCCAGCAGATGATGCAAACAGATGACAGGTTCAGAAATCACTGCATAGCATATTCTTCTTTCACCAGAGGAAATGTCCAGCATCATATAAAAAGGATTTTAGCTAGAAAAAAATGCAATCTACCGAAAAACGTGCTTACAGCACGGTGGGATGCTAGTTATGTACTCCCCCTCTCTGTAAGGCTCTCTCTGGTATTATGAACTACATGTGCATTATACTCAACAACTGTATGTCAGTTGACAACAAATAAGGAAATAGAACACTTGATCTTTACCTTTTCACCTGTTAAAGCTACCATGTCCAGAGGTCCATACATAAAGCGCCCAACAAGTACCTGAGGACCATCTTCTGCAGCAATTACATCATTCGCCCGATGATTAGCAGTCACATTCTGAAATGAGACCAAAAAATGGGAAGCGTTAGTTTTTATGTAAGGTTACTGTCTCTATTATGTTGGTAAGCACAGTGATAAAGAAACACAGTCCCACTGAGTTTGAGGAACTTTCAGCAAGAGCCAGGATCCCATTAATGGGGTGTTACTGAATGAAGACATCACTGAGAACATCCAAGATGACAAGGTAAGAGAGCACCTTTATAGAAACGCCAACTATATAGGAGAGTACGCTTAAGGGAATGTCAATTACCCTTCAGTACAGGCGGTGCCATAGAGTAATATTATCACATGCAAGGCATTCATCCTGTGAGGCACTTTCCCATATTTTTAGTAACCAGAATTTTTCATAAAATTAATGCATAAAAGCAAATCTCCCACAAGAATGCTTTAACTGATGCTAATGCTGGAAGAATATCTACAACTTGGCAATACTTTCAAACTGAGTATACTTTTTAGCATATACAGGACACAAGCATTTGCTGATGATCATGCTTCAACATGCTGCGCTCTGAAGTGCATACTAACACTTACAGTATTACTCAGTACTTGTTAAAAATGTATCTGAAACGTAGTGGGCTCATTTTTCTACAGCAAAAGAATAGTCAGAAGCTCCGTGACTTCCAAATGAAATTTCACAATATGTGAATTTTTTTCATTTATTATTTAAGCTCATGGCATCTAAAGAAAGAAGAAAATATTTTTTCTTGGGTCTTGAATTCATCCAGCATGTAAGAAAACAGAAGAATAACCTGTGCTTAACAGGTCCTTCTGTTATTTAAACACATGCATTTGGGGAAAAAAAAATTTCTAATGGTAAACCAAGTATTAATTGCTTTTATTTCTTAACTGCTAGATCACCTCTGTAGTTTGCAGTTAAGTACAATTCCATGCTTTGGGAGACCAGGCTCCACTTGAAGTGCTGCCCAACTCAATTTCCATAGCTATCCTGGATATTCAGAGACATACTCACTCTCAATTTGACATGTGTCCTTTTGCGCAGCCATTTTTCTCGTGGATTGGACGGGCTTAGCGTTGCGGGATCCAGGCTATCATTTTCTTTGAAATTTACGTTTTCATATCTCATCACCTGAAATGATAATAACATTCTAAAAACTGTGTGCTGCCTGGGGAGCCCTGCACTTGACAAGGAAAGGAGTTACACTGCTGTCCCAGCTGAGTGACACTGCAGAGCAAACAGCACAAGCAAAACAGAAAGATACAGGCCATGACGTCGTGTTAAGAATTGAAGCCACTGACACCAGCGCAGAGAGCAGGACTTCACCCTCGGAGACCAGCCAGAAGGAGATGTGAGAGCAGCAAACACGCTGACATCGTCCCAACTGATTTAATTGAGAAATACGACTGTGTAGTTTTCTGCACTATTCTCTTGACCATTTTCCTCTGAAGCAGCAGCTGTTTCATCATTCACTGGATAAAAGATACACTGATTTCTGGATTAATCCAAATTGAAATGTTTATCACTGGATTCTACAAGGAGGATCATCTTGACTTCTTGGAGAGATATTTTTACTGCAGGTCACACTCAAATATCACTAAATTATTTTCAACCCGGGTGAGATTTCTCAACCTCACCACTTTCTCTAGAGGTCACAGCACGAATCATTTCCAAGTCACTGACAGCTGTGATCTAAAAACTGGAACAACAGGAATAAGAGAGACATCACAAACCTTAGAAATGAATTCTAAGGAGACAGTGCACACAATGCCTATAAACATACTAGTACAATTACAGGAGAGTCTGGTAATGAACAGCCTTTTCTAATACACTTCAGTCTCCTCATTTCTCCTTATTCCCTCTAAATTAGAGAAGCTCTTTCTTTGTGGAGAGAGAAAGAAACATCAACAACCTGTCTTAAAATGAATGCCACGACGTCTGTTGATTCCCAGTAGCTGGCGTGGAAAAGATGTGGCAGGGCCACAGTTGGAAATGCTGTCAGGACATCTGGACAATACAAGGCATAATCAATTCGCTTTGTTCCCCACCACTTAGCAGTAACTACAAAAAAAAACCAAAAAACCATAACATTTCTAAAAGATGTCTTCATAACAAATCTGCTGTATAAATGTATAAACTAGATAACAGAATGAAGCCTTCCGTTTTTTTAATATTGACATCTGGAGCCTGTTGAAAGCATCAATCTAACACAGAAGTTCTGTTTTCACTCACTGCATAATCCCTTGAAGTTCTGCTGTCTAAACTGCATTGCAAGTTTTGGGAAGCAGAGGTTACCACAGCACGATGCCCTTTGCTTCCTGGCCCACAAAAAGTGTACAGGAAAAGACTAGTTAACTTTATGATCATATTATACAGCAAGAATCACAAATACTTTCCAAATAGTGGTGATAGTACTAACGTAGCATTACAGTCTGTAAAAGAAGAATATAATGATCTATAGCACTTAAGAGAAACGATTCTTACCTATGTATCTTTCTTCATGCTTGGACTAGGGCTCTAAACCCAAGTTTGTCTGAAACTCTTAATAGCTTTGACTTCACCTTAATGTAAGGGACTATACAAAGAACTTCATTTCTATTACTTCACCTACATTACTATGGACAGTAGAGCAAGCTACACTGTGTTATTTAAAAAACACAACAACTTAAGCTGTTCTCGTTCTCCTCAAATTTCCAAAAAACTAATTTTCCTAATAATCAGAGTGATTAGGAACTCCCACATTTTCACAAAATGGCATTTGCTATGCACACTGCAACAAGCTGCACTCACTGTTGGTGAGGCATGCTGATGACAAGCTCTCTGCTGATCCTGAGTTTTCACTGTTTGTGCTGGCCAAGCTCAACCTTCTCTCTTGTTTCTGAGATGTGTTCATAGGTTCAGAACTCTCCTGAGAGTGAGTTATGTTCAAAGAGCTGCTCTCAAGGAACAGAGCACTGTAGTTCTGGATAGCATCACCTGCAGATAACAGAAATAGAATAAAGCAAAATAAAATAAAGAAACATATATTCATTCACATATATACATATTCATACATATATATATTCATACATATATATAAGAATGAATTTTCCTCTGTCTTCTTTCAGTACTTGCTAAATATATTTGTGCCATTCTGACCCAGATTACTTCCTTTTATCATGCTAGTTCAAATCCTCTTGAGCTGTGTAAGGAGAGAAACATCAAGAGAACATTAAATAAACAGAGCTATGAAAATAGGTACTATACCTAACTGATGAGATCTTCCATCCCCCAGTGGGTATCTCTGGTATCGTGGAACACTGAATGGAGGCAGGAGATGAAATCTTTTCTCCAGCAATGGTTCAAGTCTGCAGGCAGATGGGTCAGCAGAGTGAAAGAAACTGTACACCTGGCTGCAGGCTGGGCGAACCTGACAAACTTCAATGAGAACGAAAGAGAGAAAGAGCGTTTGGTATTGCCACTTTAAGACTTTCAAGGAGTCTATGCATAAAGATGGTTAATATGGACTCCTGCAACCTCAGTCTTCCAGTGATCCTACGACACAATTTAAAATTCCAGGAAAGCAGATTCCAAAGTTACTTTTAAAGGATATCTTTATATATAGCCAATAATAACTTATAAAAGTGACTGTGGCACTTTCGAACATATAACCGTTTTCACACACAGTACAGTACTCAAGAGAATGTAATCAGACTGCACACAAAATATATAACTTCTGAGCAAACTCTCCTGCTGTGGTGTTAAAAACAGCTCACAGCCAACACATCCAGGGACCAAGTTTAGTCATGAGGCCAGAAATGAAAAAGATGACATACTAAACCAAACACAGATGCTACTTTTGGTATCATTTTCAAGGATTACTCCTTGGTGAAGTAAAAACTTTCACATTACCCTGCGAGGAACATATATGATCAGCAGCAAATGACACACTACTATGAATAGGTGAGCAGTGACACCGCTGGAATTAAACTCCATCATCTCATGTCTTAGTACTAGCTTGCACTGACATTCCCATCTTTCAGAAGAAGGAACCCTTCAAGCAGGAAATCATTCCCCAGACTTCCAGTAGATGCCTTTGTTTACCTGCTTTTAAAATAACCTCTTTGTTTACAAAGTCATTAAGCATCCTGCATTCTAATGTTAGAAAGAGCTTACCATTCAGACCTGGCAGAACAGTACTCCTCATGGCCAGCACCAAACCAAGTGGTGATCCAAAGAGGAAGAAATCAGACACCTCAAAATCAAACCGGCCCAGGTTTACATCTGAGAGACTGGAATTCGCAGGAAGAAAGTCTGCGTCATCTTTCAGCACACTTGAGCAGATGCTGAGTGAAGAAAATACACTCATTTAACTATAATGAACCCAGAGAAGAAATGCATTCCCCAAACAGGTAGCTTAAAAAGCTCCAGCATCCACATACAGATTCAAGAAACATGCCTTAAATAGTAGAAAAATAATTACAGTATAGCAGCCACTTATCATGATTTCCAGTGTGGATATTAAATGTATTACCTTTAACGTGCACAAGCTTTGTACTGTTGAAATACTTATCAGCAAGTTATGCAAGAACTCTAAAAACTGAAAAATTACCTCTTCTTCTTGTTAGCTGTATAGATGCGTTTAAGCTTATTCTGAAACTTTTAATATGAATTTGAGCCTCCTCAACTTGTATGAGGACAACGGTATTAAAAAGTTACAGTGATGCCTTGTGCATAGCTTTTCATTTTGTAAATGATTAAAACGCTGATTTAGTTTCTATGCCATACATGCACAGAAATGGCTATATATTTGTTAGGACACAAATAAGTTAATTATGTTAAATCTTGCTCCCAGCCTCCTTCCACCTAGGCAAGACATTTACTCAGTTTTAGTTGTTGTTTTGCTTTAAAGATAGTCTGGAGCTTGCTGACCAATTGAACAGCACAAACAATCATCTTACTCTTTAGAGAATAAAGGAAAGCCTGTGAGGGGAATCCAAGGTTTGGAAAAAAAAAAAGTAACAAATTCATCCATCTTGACTTCTGTGGGTTCTTCTGAAGAAATGAAACTTGCATTTAGTTTTGCATATTCAAAACTCTCACTGAATAAAAAATAAAAAACTTGTGAGAAAATTCATACCAAACCCACTAAATCTATGTCTTGGGAGGATGTTTGCAAGAACTTTAAGCAAACCTCTAGAAACACAATAGAACCAATAGAAATGATTCTGCCCCTCCAGTGCTGACAAGCTGAATTGAGTGCCAATCCTATTTCTTTTACTCAGTTATCGCACACTAGTTACCTAGACAGGAAAGCATGATGATTTGTTATAGTATCACAGTTGTAGGTGGAGGAGTCACTCTGCTTCCTAGGCAACAGCTGTCTGGGCTCTTCATCCTCCATGATTTCTGAGATGTCAATATTGCTTTTGCTCAGGTGTTTTCTGCCACCCAGACTGGAGTCCTCCGTTAAAAGGGGATTATCCTTCAGAGAATGAACAGAGCAAAAAGAAGACTTAGGGATCGAAATTCAACAGAGCTTATACAAACGGGATGCATTCATACATTTGACCTCACTTTATCAAAGCAGTGGTTGAAAGGGTTAGAAACTAGGCCAATTCAGCACCTGTTTTAGCCCTAGCAGGGAGTGAGAAACACTTCTGAAAAACACACTAAACCACTTAAAAGTACACCAGGTAGTACATTAGAAGAAGGCTGAAATGATCAGTATAAAGACTATTCACTGCATTTCAAACTATTTAAAATCTTTTTTTCTGTTGATAGAAACTCTCTCAGTGCCCCCAAATGCCACAATAAAAAAAAAACTCATCTGCAGTGAAATGGTATCAATAATTAGGCTCTGAATCAGTCATCCACAGGTGAGTTTTATGTATTATATATCCATGTGGTAAAAATCATCAATTTTCTCTATCTCTTCTAATGACAGTTGTCTGCTTCAAAATAATGCGTTTTAGCTGCAGCAGCAAGAGAGAACCATCTTCCTCTTCTAAAATGCAATGCTTAGTTCTTTTCAACTTAGAACTTACATTAGAAATGAAATGGAAGAGGGGAAAGATGGAGACAAAAACTGGGAAGGAAGCACTACAATGTTGTGGAAAAGGAGAAAAGTAGGAAAAAAAGAATGTAGGAAAACTGGAACAATAAGCAAGAGCAATGCAGTCAAAGAACCTGTCCTACATTCCGATCCCCATTCCCCCATTTTTGGTGAGAAATGTAACTAAAGAGTCAAAAGATGAAACAATTTAGCTAGCATCATAAAACCATCAAATAATACATTACAGGCACCTCATTTGGTATCAACACCACTCTTCCATACCCACTTACGTCTAAAGTACATAAAATTAGTTGAACTCAAGCATTCCTTCTCAAGTGGAGAACACACAATGCAGCTTACATGACAGAAATGTTTACAAAAAAAAAAAAAAAGTGCTTCTACTACCAAAGAATACCTTCTGGATCACAGTGAGAATGGATTTCTCCTATTTCCAAACGTAGCACTCATTTAGAGACTTTGTTACTCACACTGCCCTGTTCATTCAACCTCGGGTGACTTACATTCTTCACCAGAAAGTAGGCACATCTCTCACCAGTGAGCAGAACTTATTTATGAGCACATCTTAATGTTAGAATACCCCTAGGCAGCAGTATAATTGATCCTATAGTGTCTGGAAAAAAAAAAGACTGGCAGAAACAGCACCCTGAGATTACTGGGAGGACACATCTACATCTACAGTTAAGATGACACCCAGTAATCCTACTTTAAAGATTTACTAAGAAAGCCTTCACTACTGATGATGTATCATAAAACTGAAGCTGCAGACTTAATTTTCAGACAGCAATTTTTTGAGATATGAGCAAAATCCCATGCCATCATTATTATTTATCAAATCCTTAAATTTTTTGTGGTTTAATATGGACCTGAATTTCTTAGTTTCCCTCTAGGGAATGAATCTATATATAGGGAACGAACTTCAGCTGAGTAGATTTTTTTCTCTTCACCTGGATGCTGCTGATGCTTCCTCTCCTGCTACTGTTCTGACTCTCATCAGTTCTGTTAGTATTACAGCAAATGGCATCAAACCCCAAAATGCCTCCAATGCAGTCACCAATGAGACACACCTGAAGGAGTAAAAAAAATAGTGAATTAGTGAAATGTAGCAAGTATTTTAGAAGAAACAAAAACCGTCACAGACCTGCAGAAACATACCCTACTCATTTTAAAGCCTTGTTCTTTTTTTCTTTTTAATACCTTGCTTCCTACTGCAGTTGAAGTGTGCAGTCACTTCTTCCCACTTCCTCTTATTTACAGACATACGCCCCATGCCACGAATATTTTGATAATCATAGAATTGCTGTAAATGGACCACAGAATTCTTCACTACCCTGTACACCAAATGCAATTTTTTCTTCCCCCTTGTGAAAACAGGAAGTCATTGTACTTTAGGGAAATGAAGGTTTCCAGCTATCTAAAGGGCCCTATAATAAAACATCAATAACTCACACAGAGTAGCAGTAACAAATTTACTCTAAAGCAGGTAAGTACTATTTCTTTCTAGTCTAGAGATGGAGAAGCAGGAATAATAATAATAACTGTGACATGTCAGCTGGAAGAATTCAACAGGTGACTTCCCTGAGGAGTGGACCATGCCAGAAAAATCAAATGAGTATACCAGAGCTACATGGGAAATCTGCAAAACTGAGTATTTATCTTTTGAGTTTCTCTGCTGTCAAATGCTTTATTACTACTGTGATGGAGGCAAAAAAGAAGCAATAAATTTTGGATTCTTTTTGCTGTCAGGGATGTGCTGATGACCCAACTCTTCAGCTATGGAAGGTGTGTGACAAACTCAGAAACACAGATTAGCAGCTGTTGTTTTGGGCTCGCAGACTTGTCCATTGCTTAGTATAATACACCCTTAAGACACAACTAAGGCTCCTGTATACTATCAGAGTTCATAGCAATAATTACTAAGAGCTTAGGTGTCAAAAGGCTTGTGGGAGAAGGTATAGTATTTTCTACCGACTGAATAAATCCAGGTTAGATTCAGCACAGGATTCCAGAAGGGTCTTCCTCATGCTGAGTACTGAGAGGGCATTTTGTGTAAATAATCCCAAGCTAACGTTCATGCACCAAATTTACAGTACTGTTCTCTCACACTCATAACTTAAAACCATGAACGCATACTAGAAACAGCTTAACAAGAAATATACTTGCTCCAAAGGAATTTTTCTTTTATGTAAGAAAATAATAGTCCTACCTGCCCATTAAACCCAACTCCATCTGTAGATTTGAGAAAGTCATTGTAAACTTGGTTTGCTCTACTGATCACCATGGCAACTGCGTCCTGGTACTGAGGGGATGAAACAGCCAGCAAGGGCAGCGCAGCCAGCGGGATGTGGTCTTCACTGCTGCTCAGACAGCTTTCATCATAGCTGTAAGGATTCAGGCTAAAGTAGAACATGCTATCGTCAAGAAAAACGCAAAAAGCAGCACACAGCATTAGCAAATGAATAGTTACTAACAGAAATAGGCTGAGCTCTTGCAATTCACTATGAAAGCACAAAAAGGACCATTTGATCACAACACTCAACAGTTAAAAATCAAGGAGTTACAGCTTTATGAGACTAAGACAACCCTAGAACACATTCCTGAAATTAAATACACAAGGTGAATTTTTTCCACCTTATTTTTACACATACAAGTGGACATAACTTAAGAGAATAAACTGATTATTCCCTTTCAGCCTTTTCCCCCCCCATATACTAACTTACTATATTAAAGAATGGGATTCAGAAACTACAACTAGGAATGGTAGTTCCTAGAACAGCAAATAGAAACATTATTCAAAAGCATATAAAAACATTTTTCCAAATGTTCCATCCCTTCAAAAAGATGGAACAAAGTTGCACTGCCTCCAAAATTATATGCAATTGTTTTCACAGAAAAACATTTCAAAAAGGAGGTTTAACAGCTAAAAATGTAAGCTTAAATTTGACAGCATGGCATTCTAGTTTGGATGTGTGCTCTGCAAATTTTTCAGTAAATTCCATTCATATCTTGACTGATAGATGAATGGAGAAAACAATTCAGAGAACCAAAGGTGCAGGTCACATAACTTGTGCCAAGGCAAACAGATGGTTGCTCTACGTTGGCACGCGCTATGCTGACACATTCATAAAATCGAGTATACACTCAAATCAAACATGGAATTTTATGCTGCTGCTTCATCTGGCTCACACTTGATAAAATATTTCAGTAATTTAAAGCACACTTCCTTCTCCACAGTTTGCTAAGTGGGATGTTTACCACAACTTTACATTCCACAACTGCTTCCTGGAGTTCTGACTGTAAAAGCTGCTGGTGTGAAGCTACAGCAATGTGAGAGCAGGGAATCACTTCTCCTTTTGTCAGCTCCAAACAGATAAACCACAAAAGCAGCTCTGTGCAAGAACACACCAAGGCAGTACCAATCATATGTCAGCACCGGGAATGATTCCGCTGGACATTCAAATATTCAGCTTAGCTATTTTCAATTGGGCTGAGTACTGTATAATGCAACAAGAGAGAATCAAAAAAGCAAAGAAAAAGCAGGAGGGAGTCTTTTCATTTGGGGTGCCAGCACACTCTTCCTTCCTTCTACTCTACCAGCTCTTCTTGCAGTCAGTCAAGCCCCGTGGGCTATGCTTTATGAGACACCTAGGAGATGCTACTGATCTGGCTCCATAAATAGCCCATTTAAAGTGGGATCCTTCAAAAGCCTTTCGATGCTTCAACTCTCCTTCTGCTGGTTCGCTTTCTTTACAGGGTAGCTACTCGGACACACACTTATACTTCTTTCCTGGCTGTTTCAGTGTATTCCCTCTTGATGTGAACACTGTTGCAACTTCCAGCAGTCTGGTTTGCCCTTAGTCATCCCTTCCTACTATAAGCCGGTCACAGCTTTGAGTCCAACCACTATTTCGGAACTTTAATGTATACTCTAGTCCCTCCATTCCACTGCTGTCACCTAGATAGCAGGCATCACTGTTCTCACATCTAAAGGTCCCAAATGTGACTTTAAAAAACTCATATCCTCTTCTGTGAGGTTTTCTGCTCCACAAAAAGTTCAAATGTAAGCTCAGGTGTTATACTGCAACAAAGGCCGTAAAAGAGACCATCATTTAAAGGAAGCCTCAGGGAAAAAAAAAAAACAACAACCCAAAACAATAGAAGTTTCTCTCTGCTTAGGAAAAAAAAAAAAATCAAGCAAGTCCGAATCTTTCCTCCCCATCACCAGAGTTGCTCTTGGTTTACAGTCACAGAAGACTTGAATTGGGCCCAAGAACACATTTCTTTCTCTATTCTCTATCATGCAGAAAAGATGAGTACACATCTCTAAAATATTTATATCAAGGAAAATGTCACCAAGGAAATACACGTTACCTGAAAAGGTTCTCTCATTTAAGGGGTGAATTTCAGGACTGAAAAGAAGAAAAGTGGGCACAGACAACCAGCCCACTAGAAAATTCAATTTGGTATTTTAAATTCAGCTCACCAAGACCACAGAAATAAATAAAAACAGTGAAGAGATTTTTAATATTTTAATCGTCATGTTACAGAATATTCTGCATGAGCTCAGTTAAAATACTGGTTGGACTAGAACCAGCACCACAGCACAATCAGAACCACTGCTACCCAAGTTGATAAAACATTATTGGTTACCATTATGAGGATGTAGAAGCCAGTTACAACAGCACTCGGAGGAAAACCTGCTCAGGAACTAAGGCTATCAAGTGTTCAGTGTGCCAGTAATGCTGCACGGAAAATTTTTTACTATTGGGAAAAAATGTAAAATTAAGCTGGTTACTCTACTGCTGCTATAGCTCTCCTTTCCACATGAATCTTATAAACGTAACATCCTCTGAACATACAGGCTAAGATCAGCTGCTGTCCCATGTTAACAACCTGACAAAGACAAACATCTTAACCATGGTACTCTCTTATACCCATATTCCTTAAATTTTCCACATATATTCTAGGCTACAGGTACAATTCAAAGACAGCATAAATATTCCTATTTCTTCCTCAGGCTTTGTGCTAGGCTTTTGGTTAATGACTGAAAACAAATACCTCTTTGTATCATTTTAACCTTGTATCTCTTCCAACTTCAAGAAGTGAGGCACTGATGGACCAATTTACTCATTCAAGGTCATGCAGGAAATCTACTGCAGACTAAGGAATACTACTCTTATTTCCTGACTTCCATGTTAAGATTACATCTAAGAAGTCATACCTCCTCTCCAGGAGCTGCTGCTACATGTCATTTTTCAATTCTCACAGCAACGTCATTACGAGTGCATATCTGAAATTTTTACTGTCATATATATAATGATTGTTAAAATTAATAATAACAGCAGTTTTTCACTGTGAGGGTACCCTTCATACAAGCATGCAAAGGAACTTCAAAACATACTACTGATGCGCAGTTAAGAGTTATGTTCTTGCTCTGGGCACAGTAAACACCAAACTAAGCAGGTCTCTAAGCTGCTAATTACCCTTTCTCTGAAATTACATTCAGAATTTCCTACTGACTTGTTTTTGCATTGAAATATTATCACAGCATACTACACAGCAATAATTATCAACTACAGAGCTGACTTGCTACAAGAAATGTGATCTGATGAACAACCTCTTTGGTTTGTTCAGCCCAGAGAAGAGGAGGCTGAGGGGGGCCCTCATAGCAGCCTGCAGCTTCTCACAGGAGAGCAAAGAAGCAGGCATTGCCCTCTGGTGACAGCAAAAGGGCCAAAGGGAACAGAATGGAGTTCTGCCAGGCGGGGGTTGGGAAAAGGGTTCTGCACTAGAGGGTGTTGGGTATGGAACAGGGCAGCGGACGTGGCCCCAAGCTGCCAGAACTTTAGGAGCATGTGGATACTGCTCTCAGATATAACTAAATCTCAAATGTACTGTGAACTGAAGCCTGCAATAGCCAAAGGTATTGTTTCTTACAGATGCATTCTCTGTAACTCATTCAAGACTATACTGCATTCACGCACTGCATTCTTAATGGCAACAAATGAATACCACAGAACTACAGGACTTCAAAGAGTGGTAGCTCCTATTGGGAATGAACATGTCAAAAGCCTTTCAAAACCACACTGCAAAGCCAAATAATATAAAGCAAAATCAGCTTACTTGGAAACAAGAGAGAAAGCTGCTGAACAGATTGCTGGGCAGGGAACAAGTCTGATTAAGATGTGGCCCAAAGCAGCAGGGAAATGGTCTTGTGTCACCTTCTCAAAGACAGAACAGAAGGTGTTGATGTCTGCCAGCTTGCTGCTTTGATCCTCTCCCCCATTGTCCAAGATATTCCCTCCATGTAGGATCAGAATTAGCACACGAGTTTTGCATTTCTGGTGTTGAACTACTTCCTATGAGAAAAACAGGAAATAAGAAAGTAGGGAGCCTTTTTACAAAAAGCGTTGGTATATTTAGGGTGAATGTTCACAAGCACCGATTCCTTTTTTTCCCATTCCCACTGTGATCATTTGTGTCACCTGACTTTGGGAGGGGGTGGGGGATGGCATTTAATTCAAGTATATCTGAATCAGGTGGAGCACACTAAGCTCTGCCGTAAAGCCCTCGCAGCTCAGATTTAGGTGTTGGACTAACAAAAATTATAAACAACTTTGTACACATCAAAAGCTATTGGAAATATATCCACACTGGAGAAGACGTCAAACATTCACAGACAGCCTAAGTCTCTAGGTATTGTGAACTGGGATGCTGCAAATTTGGAAAGGTTTATCTCAAATAATCATGGGATCTGAAAAGAAAAACAAATGAGAACATTTCTGGTTATTTTCATTTCTGCCAATAAAAGCATCAAGCAAAAGAAGGTGATAGAGTTTTGACAACAGCAGCCTCTTGAAATTGACAAAATATTAAAATGAAAAAGTGGGGTTAACTTACCCAGACATTTACTGAAAGAGTAAAAATTGTACTGGAGCTGACAGCCATAAATCTCATAAATACATTTATGAGCACGTGAATGCATGCATACACAGACAACAATCTACCATGGAAGGTGAAGTGATGTGGTCTGCAGAAAAAACAAGATGTTATCTACTTGAAACTGGAACAACGTTTTGCAAGTTTCACAGATGCACTTCTATTTTCCCCTTCTGTAGACTCTACACATTCACTCAAAGGACAACTTACTAAATACATTAAAAGATCAGGAAAATTAGGTGATTTACTGAGAAAGCAGTTGAAATATAGCAAGATGTTATACTGTGAAATAAACTCCATTTATTTCCAGCAAGGTCTTTTAAATTAATTTATATTACTTTATATTCTACTACAACCTGATCATAATCTAATACGTCTGTATCTTTATCTGCTGTGCTCAGATGATGTCTCTTCTCTTTTTCATTCCTTTACCAGTTTATCTAAACTGCAAGACATCTAAGGCAGAAGTCAGTTTCATTCACATCACAGCGCCTTCTAAAAACAGGCATTCAAACATGCCACAATTCATATATATATCCCTCAGGAATGCAACTCTCAGCACGGTATTATGTTTTTGTGAGGAAACCGACCAATATTATGACAACTGTGTCCATTTCTGGGCTCTCCAGCTCAAGAAAGACATGGAACCGCTAGTGAGAATCCAGCAGAGGGCAGCAGAGATGGTTGGGGCCTGAAGCACCTTTCTTAACAGGAAAGGCTGAGAGCCCTGCGGCTGTTCAGCCTAGAAACGGGAAGGCTGAGAGGGGATCTGATCAGTGTTCATCAAAATCAAAAGGGCAGGGGTCAGAAGGGAGAAACTAACAAAGAAACTGCACAAACACACAGTTCAGCCCGTAGGTTAGGAGGATATGCGGGGTGGGAGGAGAGGAAGAAGAGGCACATGTTGGGGTGGAAACACTGACACAGATAAGGAAAAAAGATGTAGTTCAGCATACAGAATAGTGACAGAGAAATGGTTGAAAGAGAGAATCATAAGCTGTTCCACACAGCCATTATCTCTGTTTAGCCTACATTTTTCAGTCTCCAATAACATTTACTCATTTTAAGTCTCATAGTCATCTCCTGAAGGCGTGTTTTCTGCCTTTTAAGTTTTGGATATGCATGTAAGTAGAATGAGCATTTTTAAGGTTCCACTTTTTCCTGCTCTAAGTTACAAATTCTGACTCCATTTATTCCCAATCCAGTCATTCAAAGAGAAACTTAATTCCCTTTAAAAAGCTAAGAGTTCTTTCTAAAGCCAACACAAGATTGTAAACAAGTAGCGCTGCTGAAAGGTTGGTGTAAACAAAAGCTTCAAAACAGAGAGAAAAACTCCGGTAAGTCAGTACTGCTCAAGTCGCTGTTACTAGAAGTGCCTCAGCTAACTGCATTTAACAGGTATCCTTTGCAGAAGGAATCAAAGGGAGTGAAAATAATTTGCCTCCAAGGAACAGCCCAGGCATGTCTAAGGAAAGGGGCTCAAGGACCAACTCAAAGGGCATCTGAAGTGAAAGACTATCATAATTTCCAGGGAGCTTTAGGACTGGGATTCCTCAAAAACAAAAAAGTAGGCATTTCTGTTTTCTGTTTACATGGGAACGGATGACCTTAATCAGTCAACTGGAAGGACTGGAATTAGTTTCGATTCTTTGCATCTTCTAAAGAAGTAATTCTGTTACTATCAATTTCAGACTGCTGCTGAACCTTCTCAAAATATGCATTTGCACTGGAGCGCTATGGATACACAACAATTTCTCAAGAGACATAGGGTCATATTTCCACCCAAATTAATTATGCAATATTTTAAAAACTTGGCTTGATTTTCTGTGATTGCATGTGCACTTACTGAACAAAAAGAACATTAAGCCACCAAAGGGGCTTATAATTCCATAATGCAATACGACAGTATTTCCACATGTCTGCACCCTGGAAATCAGCACAGTTTGTTTTGGGAAACACTCACCTCACTGTCCTCATGTATTTCAATACTGCCTTGTGCAGGTAACCTTTGTTTTCTTAATGAGGCATGATATAATTCACCTGAAAGGAAGAGAGACATAACTGAGTATATAAACATTTGGGTGCCTCATCTTTCACAGACATCTGTGGAGTTAAGATACAGTTATGGTTTCAAGACAGAAAGATTCACATTCTGTGGACAAACAGAACAACAAAGTTCTTTGCAGTCCTGTGTAATACAGAGTCCCCTATTCCTAACAGCAACATCTGTAACAAGATTCTCTGTAACAAGATTCAAGTCATTATGCAAAGGTATACTGTATCAGCACAGGTACTGTTTGTCACCTGTGCCTTTCTGGAACAGGCTGAAATGATGGACTCTGCAGTGTTACTTTGTCTAAACATAAATACTGTCAGGTAATGAGAAGGAGCAGAAACTAGAATAAGTTCATTATAAGAAGTATGACATGGTAAAAACTATAGGGTTTTTTTTGCTTAAAAGTAAACAATTACAAACTAGAAGTGCTAAGTTGTCTTAAGATTATACCTGTTGTTCCTGTATGTCAGTGGAATTTACACAGTAATTAAATATTGCAATATTTCGCTAAAGGGCAATTACTTCAACTGAAGTCTGGAAGATCACAGTTTTTTCTAAACACTTACTTGACCCAGCCAGCATGCCAGGTTGTAAGGTCACAATCAATTACCCTGCTAGTATACAAAGACATTTCTCTACAAGTTCAAATAATCTTGCCTCTACAGACATGAGTATCTTTTTCGGAGGTAATCTGAGATTAATTCACTTAGCACAACACTTAACACCTTCCACTCCCACTGCAAAACACTGCCTGTGAGGGAACAGACTTGAAGGTACAGCAGCAGCAATTTAAACTAAACGGAACAAAACAAAACCACAAAGATTGAGAAATAAAACTGCTGAATCACAGAACTACCTTGCACTTAGAACTCCACAGGGGACAAAAAGAAAAACGAACGGACTGCATATGAGAAATTTAAGCTAGAGCACATTGCTATACTCCTAAAGATAAGCCACTTTAGGACAAACTACTGAAACAATTAAATAATGATCTGCCGGCTAGGATATAAAGCTCAGTTCAAATTTGTGCCTTAGTGTGTGCTTCTTCTACATCACATATTAGCACACTTCTCTACGCCCTTTCTTTAGCTATGCAGGTGGATTCTAGAAAACGGCTGTATTACAAGGTTATGCAGGTAATCTATCAGAGAATTTCTGGATTTGCAGGATTAGCACAAGAACAAGCTTAATGCAGAAAAGAAAAAATATGAACAAAAAACCTGGTCAAGTGTTTTCCCTGTGGGAACTCCATTTAGTATTTTACAGTAATGCTTCATGCTGCTCAAAACGCCCTCCTAGAGAACACTTCCTGCTTCATCTAGCAACATACTACATTACTAGGCTGTTTTGCACTTCTTATTAAAAAAAAATCAAAAATTTTAAAAAAAGCATACAGTCTGTAAAGCGTAATGCACTGTTTAATGCACTAAGTCTTACAGGCACTTTTGGGGTACATTTTCATAAACCTCAGTAACAATAAAGAAATTACGCAAACACAGCCTTTGCCCTTTCATACTCCAAAAAATAACATTTGACGAAAGCACAGTAACACACTTTTGCTGATCAAAATTTATTACTATCTCTAGCTGCTAAGCAGCATTGAATACAAAGAAAAATGAAAATAATGTTAGACTCACGTTGCTTTTCCTGTAGAAAGCCTGATGAACAAAACACAGATTCTTCACCTGTAAAAGGGAAAAAAGAAGGGAATGAAACAGGACTGATTTACATGAACATCAAGTTCCTTCCTTTTTCTAATATATTACAGTGAACAGTCTGCACATGACCACTATGCTGATTTTTAAAACATCCAGTGGCTCCTTTGGAAAGAGCTTAGCAAAAGACACACTGGAGAATTGCTCCCTAGTGAATACGAGTCTTGGCTGTGTAACATGGTGTATTTGCTTAACATTCCAAAAACACTTTAAATGAGATGCAAAATACAGCCAATTCTTCACAGCCCATTATTTCACACAGCAAGTACACACATACAATCCATAGGCAAAATAATGTAAGCAAAGACAGCTAGAAATTCTACATTTCCAAAGAAATTAACACATCTCAAAACCACCTGATACTATATTTTAATTCTGAACTGTGACATTCTTAAATTTTCAGATGCCACAGTTAGACATCTCATTAAGTCTGCCCCCCACATGCTTGACAAAGTTCTTTCAAGTACATAACTAAAATTTGATGTCATCTATTCTCACAAACATTCACAAAACGTTGTTCATAAGAAGGCAGATCCAGAGAATTACGTTCTTTTAGCTTTCGGGTATCAGTTCCTGAAGTTCGGTTCTGGTCTCATTTCCTCCTTCTGCTCACAAGTACCAGTAACCTGTTTAGTATTCATCCCACAAATTTACAAGCATCTTTTTAAGTCTAGACCATTTAAGGAAAACAAACTAACAAACAAACAAACCTTTCCACCTTAACTAAGTGGAAAATGTTAATTCACAGCCAAGATAATACAGTAGTATTATTAGACTACTACAGTTCTGTTCAGTGTCTTGCAAAAACTGTGGCAAATTGCACAGACTGGCAACTGCCTCCCTCATCAGTCAGAAATGAGCTGTTTCACACACAAATTATGGTTGTTTTTTGTCTTACATTAGATGGAAAAACGGTAAGATCCAAAAGATATATGAGAGGTCATAAAATCATCACTCTGCAAGGCTTCTTTTTAAATGCAGAGTGTCATGGAGTTACCTCTAGATCTATCCGCCTCCGCGACAGGGGGACAGCAGGCCCACAGGCCCAAAAAGGGAAAAAGGGGAGGGGAAGGGAACAAAGAGAGAAAGAATATAAAAAAAAAACAACCAAACAACAGTGGCAATGATCTGAGGAAAGTTAATTTACTAATCATAATAGCAGAAATACAAGTTAATTGGGATTGAAGCTATTAAACAAAATAAATGAGAGAGTGAGTGTCCAAAACTGAAGGCCTTACTCTAATGCTGAAGGCAGGTGGCTGGGGAGAACACGGCACATAGACCAACAAAAAGAAAGGGGCAGCCTCGTGACATGGGAACAGTTTATCTTTCCCTCTAAATGGAAAACGGAAACAGAACAGTGAAAGTCTTCTGGGAGATGGAGTTCTTCTCTTCCTCTGAGAACCAGGTACCCAGAAATGTCAGCAGTCCACAGAACTGGAACATTAGCTCTTAACATTAACTCCCAGTGCATTAAATGATGTTATGATGTGGAAAACTGATAGCAAAAATCATAAAACTATGACACAGAGTTACACAGAACAGCTGTAGTGGTATGGAGCCACAGTGCACACTACAGTCTCTGGAGAACAATTCATAGTAAGTTTTAAGGAGAGAAGCACAGCATTTGTTATTAAAAAACAAACAAACAAACAAACAAACCAGTAGGAATCGCATGGCTCAATTCTAGGTGGTGCAGAAAGGACAGGAGTACAGACGTAACATAACTTGTCCAACAGTAGCACCTCCCAGCTCCAAAGCACTACCTCACAACTACACCGGGTGGGAGAACTAATGTTTAGTCTAAGTCAACAATTCAAATAAGTCCTAAAAAGAGAGCAGTATTACTACCAGCATTTTTTTTTGCAGATAATCAGTGCATTAAAAGATGGAAAGATCTCAGTAACCTGGTCTTGGGTGGCGATACCAGGACAGAGCTTTAATATATCAGGTATTAAAATTCCCAGTTGTGTAAGCTGACTGTGTCCATCTACTTTGCTGGTTACCAGTAAGACAATCCCATCAGTCTGTACATGCAACACATGAAGCATGGGAAAAAAGAATTTCACAGGAATTCTATGGCTAATTACGTTTTAATCAACTAAAATCATGTTTTAATCAACTAAAAAATTTATTTTCTAAGTTGTCTACCTGAGAATTCATCATAATCTATGACATTTTAATTGAATTATCTGGATTTACAGTGCATAACAGTAGCATATGACAGAATTGACTAAAGGCTCTTAAAATGTAAGTAGGGCTTATTAAATCAAGTTACCCCATCAAAGCTGTATTGCAGAAATAATTCCTTTGCTTGCTTATGTTATATTCTACAAAAACTATCACTAATGGCAACTTCTTCTCCTCCTTCCCTCTCCCTTCCACACCTGCCCCTGCATAAGATTTCCATATTGCAGAAAACAAAACAAAAAAAAAGAAAAAGGAAAAAAAAAAAAGGAAAGAAAGGCAGCATGCTCAAGTCCTTGTAGAAATTTGGCAGAGCTGACCTTTAAAAGTTGAGAAGTTAAACAATTAACATAGCTCTTGCTTATTCTGGCCTAAGCATAATTCTGTCTTTCAGAAAACACTAGTCCAATCAGTTTTAGTTTTAATTAGTCAGACTGCTGAGTATTAATATAAATTAAAAATTAACAACTATCATAATAAAAGTAAAAAAACCCCAATAAATTAGAAAATACATAGTAAAACATTAGAAAATAAAATTAATGATTAATTGCAGCTGTAGCATCGCTACATTTTCTTTTTCTTAGAGAAGAAGCAGCCTAGTAAACTAAAGAAGTGGTATGTAAGGGTTTACCACAATTTAGCAAGAACAGTGCTCTCATCAAAGCTGAGAGGAATACGACCACTTCCGTCAACAAAGCCAGATCACATAAAGAAAGAAGAGAAGCAGACAGGTCATTTCTGAAGAAAAGCAAGAGGTTGTCATTAAAACAAGCATCATTTAAATACTCTGACAAGCACAACTGGTTGCATAATCTTTTGTCATGCCCTCTATCACAATTGCAAAAGTAACGATAGGAAAGCTAAGATTTAAAATGCTGGCAGCAAGGACAGAGTCACATTACCTAGTATGATGCATGGAAGTATAATTACAGTTAATGAGATTAAACTAACAAGAAGGGAAGCATAGAGTATTAGAAAATACCTGCCAATAACCAGACCTGGCCATCAGGAAGGAAAACAATGTAAAAGGAATGACAGCAGATCTCTGTCGCTAGCAGTTCTTCCATTCCTGCAGCAAATTCAGTGCTTGGTCCTCTCTTTCTTAACAGGTAGCTTACCACATCCCTGTCAACTCACACTTCTCCTGTGAGCTGGCAATTTTTACAAACACTGTTTGTGAGAAAAACCGAGAGCAAAAAGTAAGCTTCCATTTAGTGAGAATTAGCTTTCATCTGCCTCAAAGCAGGCAACAGGCTTGGCCAGTAAGATTTTTGTGACTCGGGAGAGCAACATCTATGCTCACAGCAACAAAAATAGCCTTTGTAAGATTTCTTACAAAGTTCTTGCTGGTGTGAACTTGTGTAAAGCATTTCACAAACACAGTCTCCCTGTCAAAGAGTTTCCAGTCTAGAAAGGCCAAGTAGACCAACAGATAGGCAACCAGGGGAGAGAGCGCAACCCCACTATTCACAATTCATGTGACTTTATTTTTTTTTTGTAATTTAAATCATGCTCAGGTTTAGTCTCAAATGTGTAAGCTTTGACCTCATAGTTAATACCAACCACATCAATGGAATTTTCCCCTACAATTTCACCTGCTGAAATGCCAATACAAGCATAAATTGACCTATGAACTACTAACTTGGATTGAATGGCACACCTTTTCTGTAACAAATACTTGCCTGGTTTGCTAATTAAAATGTTTCATGATCTCAATTCTGACTATAAAGAAACTCCAGTAATGAAACATAATACACGCTGAATTCAAAGTATACAAAAAGGCTGCTGTATTTGCTGAGAATTCACCTCACTTTAACTGTACTGTGTCAACAGTACAAGGCTGTGCTGTCGTTCAGTGAGAACTGGACAAGTTGAGAGTGGGGCAGAGAGGAACCTGATGAAGTTCAACAAGGGCAAACGTCCTCCCCTTACACCTGGGGAGGAAAACCATATGCATCAGTACAGGTGAGGGGCTGAGCTGCTGGAAAGGAGCGCTGTAGAGGACTGAGGTGTCCTGGTGGCCAACAGGCTGACCATGAGCCAGCAGTGAGCCCTTGTGGCCAAGAAGGCCAGTGGCACCCTCAGATGCGTTGCACAGAGCATGGCCAGCAGGGTAAGGGTGGTTTCTCCTCCCCTCTGTCCTGTGAAGGCCACATCTGGAGTGCTGTGCTCCCAGCTGAAGGCAGACAGGGAACTGGCGAGTGGAAGGTCACAAAGATGATCTAAGACTTGGAGCATCTCCCTTACGACAAAAGTCCTGTGGCTGTTCAGCCTGGAGAAGAGAAGGCTGTGAGGGGACCAATGCTTGCTGAAATATAAAGGGCAAGAATAAGATATAGGGCCAGGCTCTTTTCAGTGGCGCCCAAACAGAACAAGGAGGAATGGTCACAAGCTAGAACATAGGAAGTTCCATCTGAACTTGAGGAAAAAAATGCTTTACTTTGAGTGTGACAGAGTCCTGGAACAAATTGCCAAGGTTGGTGATGAAGTCTCCTTATCTGGAAATATCCAAACCCACTCAGATGCTTTCCTGCATAACCTGCTCTATTGAACTTGCAAGGAATGGACTGGAGCACCTCAAGAGGTCTGTTCTAATTTCCACAATTCTAGGAACAATTACTTTAACCTCACAAATGTTAACAATGTTTACTTAAAGATACGGGGTCAGGTGGCTAGACTAAATGCAAAGCACTGAAAACAACAGTCTGACTTCACTCCTAGTTCTCAGAGCACACAATTTTCTATAAAGCAATATACAGATACTTTACATCAGTAGTGCATTTAACTGCATAACTATGATGTGTGAAAATGCTGTTTGTCTTACCTTCGGTAACAGAAACTTATTAGATTTAAATGCTGCTCCCAGTAAATAAAAAAATAAAAAAAATAAAAAGAAAAGAATTCATTGGATAAGCAGATCATACTTCTTACAGTTTTCCACTGAAAAAGTGAAGTACCACATCAAAGACAACACAGGACCTCCCTCTCTTTCCTACACAGTATTTTAAAGAAAAAAAACAGCTTTACCTGGACACATAATTTTTGACTATAAACACTTGAGCTAAGGCTGAAATACTTCCTACTCTATCTGAAGATTACTGATCACAGATATCTCTGAAACTGCTGAATCAGTAATTCCACCCAGCCTTATTAAGCTATAACAAAAGCACTGTCTAATTATCTGTATTAAAAACACTGTGGTAAGTATTTGGCAGATAATGCCATGAAGACAGACACAGCAGATGTAAAGGAAATCAGTAAATAACAAATCAGTGGGGCTGAATTTGAAAGCTTAACATGGCAAGGAAAAGAAGGAAATGCATGTAACTGCTTCATCTGCTACAAAATCTCACATATTTAGCAGGCATGCAAGATGGTTCATGGTGAGCCATTTAGAAAACTAAGCCATATTTGATACAATACCATATTAATTTTTCTCACTACTCTTTTTTGTCTTGCAGATAAAATGGTATACTACACCACATCCAGCAACTCTTCCAAACTGCCATTTGGAGTCAGAGACACAATGAAGTAAGTTACCAAGTAACAGTAGAGAAAACTTGGTATCATTGTTAAGAATAAATGTAAAAAAGAAGTCTTCCCGAATTACCTATTTAACAATTGTAAACATAGTGTCTGGATTGGCATCTACTTGTCATTTAAGTGCTAGCAATAAAACATTCCAATGGTAGATAATCAAAAAGTTTCTGAATCGAATAAATATTACTTTTAATCAATCCTTGTACTGAAATACACTGGCTCATATTTACTTTCAGGATTGATTACATGTAACAAATCAGTACAGAAAAGCCTCCAAAACAGGATCTTCAGATGCACAAATCCACCACATTCTTAAAAAGTTTAGATTGATAACAAGCACTATTCTACACAAATTCTCTTATCACAGATGGGCAAGTAAGATAGGTCCACCATTCTCCAACCCAAATCATTCTATGGTTCTATGATTCTCTGTAAATTCAGTGAGGTAATTTTCATTTTTAAATGACAAGATAATTCAGGAGACAAAGAAACAATTAAAAGGAGTTGCTTAGGCTTCTGTCTTAGGGCCTAGATTCCTACTGCTGTATCAGCATTCACTTCTCACTCATAGCAGTGGTCCACTATTACCTAAATGTCAAGCTAAAGCTGTCTGAAAATATTCTTAGTGTGTCTCCTTGAAATTTTGAGATAATGATTTGTTGACGTTGAAAGAAGACTTCAGAGTGTTTAAGTAACAAAGACTTACTCTATGTAGAAAATAAACTAATAATAATGACCAAAAAATCCTTAATATAGATTGATCACAGGAAATACAGAAAATGCAGGCTGCAGTCTTGTAAACCATCTTGTAGTTTTTGAGCTTTCAATCTAAAACAGTCCCACTGTGTCAATACATTTATGATGCTACTGAGCCTATCAGCGAAGTTTCTTCCTGGAATAGATCAACTAATTCACTTCCCATCACTAAAACATTACTTACATGTTTATTTAGATCTTTAAACTATGTGATATAATGAATTTTATTTCTGTTGAGTATTTACATGTCCAGCACCTAATTGCTTAACTTTAAATAGATATGTAAGGCAAGCTAAACAGTACCTTGATTTTCTTCCAGCTTCCCAATTGTTTCTATCTGCTCAACAAGGTCATTTGAGTTCCACTGGCTCATGCCGATGAGAATAGCACTTTTTCCTTCCACCACCTCTTCTGTATGAGGAAAAAGGAAAAATAAAAAAATAAATGGCAGTGATGAATATGAAAACACCACAAAGGACTAAAACCAGTAACTGTGAGAGAAATAAGCAGCCGAAGTTAGCACAGGCAAGACTCTCCAAAGAAGCTTCCTGCTTGACATATCCTGAAGTGTACCTATGCACTACACAAATTTTGTGCAGGAAAACCAGAGAGGAGAGAGTTGTTTGAGTATTTGCTCTTATCTCAAGCAGGTCACTTAAAAACAAAGTTGGGAATAAATCACTCAAGTGTTTACTATCAACTTACTAGTCAGAATTCCTTCCCCTTTCCCCACTCCAGGAAAGCACTGAAGATCAAAACAACCCTAAAACTGACATCTTTGTTTTTTCCTAACAGCCTGCAGAAATTTCACAGAACCTACAGCCCTACCCAACCCAAAATTCTCCTTCCTCAGTTTCTAAAAATTGAAAATACTTACAGCACTAAACTATCGACTTGTGATTGTTTTTCATATGAAACAGCCATACAGAGTATACTCTCACATTCATTCAAGAAATGAAATGAGCTATACTACAGTCCACAACAGTCAAACTATATGAGCTTCTCAGAATATGAGTAAGAATTTTTCTCCAGATGTAAGGGAAACTTTGGTCAACATAGTAAAACTTACACATATACTGGTAGTTCAACATTCATCTCAGCCTGAAAATGGAGCTGTGTCCTATAATTATAAGCATTTTTAAGTTTTTTATATACCACAATTTTAACAAACAATTAAAAGTAGTCCTACTCCAGACAGGCCTGAAGCGAAAGATGCAGCAGAATATGCTCCACACTGCTCTGATGCCAGATCCAGCTCCTGGCTGCTTATTCATCCACACCAGTGCTTCACCCATCTCTGATACTCAGGCCTGTTAAAAAACCATACCTCAATCTGGTGAAAACAATGTTGTTAGTCCGTTCCAAAACGAGCTTACTCGCAGCAAATCTGGCAAAAGAACAGGGATACTACAACAAAACTTTGCACTGACCTCGAGCATCAAAAAACTCATCATCAGAGCTTTCCACAGAGTCTTTGCGGATGTTCTGCATGTGCCACTGATCACCAATGAATCTGCGTAGGCCAGCTGGAAATACAGAGAGACTGACATTAACCCAAGGAAATGCTCGCTTCTGTGCCACTACAGTAGAAGTACAGTAATAAGCATTGGTGGTGATGTTTTAAGAGGATCCTTTTAGTCAGAGCACCTAATCTCAAAAGGATTCTCAAGATGGCATAAAAATTACACTTCTCACTTTCACTTAACAAAAAATTACTAAAACAAGGTTTTGATTAAAGATGAGCCCGCATCACTTTCAGTTAATGGAGTGACTTGAAAAGATAAATTCTAGCATATGCAACTCACCAGGTTGTCCAATGCCAACACTCAGACTATACAACATTTGTTTCTGAGACCTCAAGCAACGTTTCCCCAGGACATGGCAGTGGTTCCTGTTCAAATTACACTTCACTTCTGAGAGAAATGGCATCCTATTTGGCTCACATGTGAACAGACAAACTAACGAATACTCATTCATTCAAACTTATTCATAGAGTTTTTTCATCTGAGAGCTTTGTTTTGCCAGAGACCTGTGCTTACATTCATAGCCTGTAATTACAAGACAGGAGGGCAAAACCCCAACAGAACAGGTACAGTAGCAAATACATTGACAGTAGATTCCAGGGGCTACATATAACTCAGGCTAATTTTTTATTAGAAAACCAGCCCTACACAATTACATCAGTCCTTCTTTCATCTACAGCAGCACATATTGCCTTACACTGACAATAAACACACCCCAAAACACTGTTGAAACAGGAATCAAATCGACTGTAATAACTGAGGCAGAGCCAGACTCCTCACAGCAGCACTGGGCAAGGACAGAAGACTCTGGGCATAAGTAGAAGTGAAAATTTCATACCAGCTTTAGGGAAAATTGTTTTTCACAGATAAACATTCATTGAAGCAGCTCCTCAAAATTGTGCAATCTTCATTTTTTGGGGTCTTCAAGGCCCAGCTGGATAAAGTCATGAACAACCTGCTCTGCTCCCATAGCTAGCTGTACTGTCTGGGAAGTCACAGGCACAAAGAGGCACTATGACCAACGCTGTATTCCTATATTTTGTATTAAATGCTTAAACACAGCTCAAAATTATTGGAATCATGTATTCTGCCCACTGCATGGGAAACTTAGCCATCACCTCCATTGATGATACTCTCACCATCTCACAAGATAATAAAAAAAATCCCATCACACCTGTGGAGTCACTTTTCTATTCTTCTTACTGACCAACTTACAAACAAAATATCTTTTTCCACTGGGCTGACCACAGCCTTGCATAAATGCACAGCATATCTCAAGCAAGGAGAAAGAAAACAAGAAGAAAGGAATGGATGCAGAGTACCTAGCGACCCTGTTACACAACAAATCACTGCAGATCCTTGCAGAGCCAGAAACTTGAAAGATAAATTAGAGAAAAAGAGCAATTTACAGATAGTACAGATGAAAGGGAAAAAAAGCTCATGTGCCGTCACGGGCTGTGTTATAAACTCAAGAAGGCAAGGTACTTGCAGCAGGATTCTATACTGTGGGTCAAGAGCACACAAATTCAGGATGTCTGTGACTGCACACAGCAAATATAGCACTTTCAAAGAGTAGCCATCTCTCTCACAGTACTTACCAGCGAGAGAGCAGCACATATACCACAAGGAGACTTGACTGCGTCTCCACTCTGTCACCTTCTTTTATTGGTCTGTTTCCCTAGAAAGCCAATACTGTCTGGTGGTTGCCCAGACCTAACAGAATCAGATTAAAACTTGCTTTGCAGCCTCTGCAGTTGGCCATAGTACACTAGAATCAGCTTTACGATAAGGATGAAACGTATTGCAAAATTTTGCTACCAAAAAAGACCTTGGCAGCACCAGCTTTATTATATCTCACTAGGAATGCTTCTAGATTTAGAAGCAACTTAAACAAAGACACAGCTGGCAGCACAAGTCTGCATATGCTAGCTGCAAGCAGTTCTTCATATTCACATTAATTTGCTGGCTGCACTGCAACACACTGCCCTAGTACAATAGTCTTATCAAGTCTGCTTCATTCTGTGCCAACAGCTTAGCATTCGCAGCCTCTGCAGGACTCTATTATCATTCCTTGATTGTATTAGACATTGCCTGGGGTCATTGATTTCATTTACAGCATCAAGTGCTGCATATTTTATTATTTAATTTCAGAGAAGGAAAAGATCAGATTTACTCCAAAATACAGGCTACCTCCCTGGTGATGACATTTGATGCTTTTAAGGATTTCTCTTTAAATACTAGACTTGTTGACTGGTTCCCAGCAGACAGATTTCAGCATTTTTTTGAGAGCAGGGCAGCAATTAACTTTTAATTTCAGTTGATCTGTATTGCTGTTTCTGAGAGTAGCAGGGAAAGCTACCCAGAAAAGCAATCCCTATCATAGAAACCCACATCACTAACCTGCAGGTCACTCACACGAGCGAGCTAGAAGCACATGCACAAATTTTCAGAGGCTGCTGGAGGAAATGTACCAGACTGACAGTGAGGACACAAGCGGAATACTTCCACGCAACACAGACAGCCCACAGAAATGCACAGAGGCTTTCCTCCTAAGAGAAGCAGAAGCAAAGTTTCCTATCTGAACTGCTTTCTTTTGTATAGTACTGCTGGTCACTACACTCAACTGTTTTGCAGACAGCTGAGTGTGGGTTTGCACTGAGCAGAGCCATCCTAAGCACTGAGCAGAAATGTTGAATTCTCTGGTTACGCTCCTGTATGACTCCAACTTTGGGCAAAGACCTTTAAAATAAAGAAATCTAACACTACACCACTAAAACATGTCCCTTAGTGCCACATCCATACATCTCCTAAATACCTTCAAAGATGGCAACTCCACTCTTCCCTGTGTAGTCTGTTCTGACAACTAACCAACCTTTCTGTTAAGAAACTCTTCCTGATGTATACATATAACCTAAAACTCTATTGTAAAATTAATTTAGATAAATTTAGTTTCAACAGGAATTAGGATTTATTATTAACTCATGGTAAATAATGAGTTAAGATTCTGTGATTTTCATAGCACAACTTGAGGTCCTCTCCTCACACTCCAAACTGGGTCCTGATATTCCACTGAGCCCACTGCAAACCAGCTACAAGGTGAGCCAGGACAAACAAACAGGAAGCTTCTCATCTTCAGCTACACTCAGTTCCAACTATCTCATTATAAAAATGGGTTGTTAAATTATAGTTTTGACAGACTTGCAATGCTAGGCCAAGTGTATGTACCAGTGCTGACCATAATCTTTTCAGACCCAATCTGAATGCTTAATTTTATGCACGTACTTCATCCCATTGACATTTGTAGAAACACCTGTACGTATGAAACTAAGCAACTGTTAATGTACTGTTGGAATTAGGACTATGAGATTATAAACACTTGGATATCAAAAATTAAATAATCGAAATCAATCTGCAGGAAGTTCTGAAATTTTTTCAAAGATTTTCACTCATTGATTCCCCCCACTCATTTAAACATTTTCTTTTCTACCTTAAGTTTGACTACTTCCCCACCTTATTACAAAAGCCCTGATGTTCAAAACTCATTAATTTCCGAAGACCTAAGTATCATCCAACAACTCCACATCTCCTACTACCAGTACCAAGCGTTGTTTCAAGATTGCTTGTTAAGGAAAAATAAAAGATTAAATGTGTATCAAATGATGGGGGAAAATAAACAAAATCTAACAAAAAAAACCCAACTTATTCCAGCCCAGTAACAGGCATTGGCTCTGAATCAGAATAAACCACCGCCGTGCACTGCAGGCCTCAGGTCTTTCGATGAAATACATCTAGAAGTAGAATGTTTGTATAGAGGGCACAGTAATACCTTCTGCCAAAAGTGAAGAATACTTGCCTATGGAAATAATGCCCTATAGTAAGCAGTACATTTGGTGAAAACGCAGGGCTCCTGGATCTACTGACTTGAGAAATCATTTTACAAATGCACTGGGAAGTAACCCTAGCTCTCATGTCAAATCAAAGCCATGTCACCTTTTCTCATTGGCTCTCCTTTTCCCCAGCTTTGAATAAGCTTTTACAAACCAACAGCAGCTGAAAATGAAAATCGTGACTTGTGTCATCACTGCTTACTACAGCAGAACTTCACCAGCAGGGTCAGCACAAGCACTTTGTGAGCGGGCTTTCCTGCAAGACTCATTCAGCGCAGTTCACATCATCGTCGCGGTCATAGACTGCATCAAGCTTTGAAGCATGCCCAGAGTCCATTACACTTTTTGCTTGATAATAAACATTCACCAATCAACTGCAGACACAAACAAAAGCCACAGAGTGTTGAACATCAAAGTAGCACTCATGGATACTACTATCATATCAACCTATTCAATAGAGCTATATTCTGATAACTACTGAAAACTCAGTATACTAGTAAATTTCTGAAGACTGAACTAATTTCAAAAAGAATTAATCAAAAATTGACTTCATTGCATAGATTAAACCTTTCTGCTTACCAAAACTTACTTTAGAGTTGTTTTCTCTTTGCATTCAGGAAAGGTTTTTCTAGTAAAATCAAAAAGCACAAGTCATATTCTGTTTGGAAAGAAATAATGGGTAGAAAGACTTTTGTTGTTGCATAATCTTCCTGTTCTGTTGGTTTCAGATGCATCCTTCGTACCCTGTAAGTGATTTAAGTGAGCTACCCACACAATGTTACCTAGGAACTACAGAGCTGAGTCTCACCAGAGGCTAAAATTATCCATTGCTATTTTCTAGCTATATTTTATTTCTTCTATAGCAAACACA